GAAAGGAAGAAGACAGCGATAGAGTAGAAGGCAGCAAACTGTACTTTAATGCACAGTATGTGTGCCAGATATATGGTCTTATTCTTATTTCTTTGAATCCAAAGTTACGGTATTTTTTGCAACGGGATAAAAGGTTGTTATGTTCCTTCCGCTCGAGCTATTTTGCACAAAGATACGTTAAAGCTTTAAATATTTAATTTATTAATACTTTTTACACTTTATACTCGAGTATTTTCGTTGAATTAAATAAGAGGAAACTGAAAGATTACGACATCACAGGAAGAGCGGAAGTGATAATCTGGACCACTAATTGTCTTCAATTTCCCGACTGCAGTGAATGAACTGCAACGTCCTTCTTTGTGTTTATAAGATATTGGTCATCGTGACGCATTAACCAAATGCGGTAACCTCTTACAAGTTAATCAAACCTTTACTCGTGTAAAGTCTTAATTGGTAAGACTAAAAATTATGATTATTTAGTTAAGATTAAGTTAAAATTACGACATATAAATGGTATTATTTAAAATATACGTATGACAAATATATTATCTTTTTTTTTACAATAATTTAACCTTGTTCTTTTTTTCGTAACATCACATTTTAAGTAATCATTTGCAAGTATATTATTATAATTAGACAAAATTGCACAACATCTCCTTTACTCTAAGTACCTGGATCCAAAAACGTTCCCATGGTCGTAAAGTTTTAGAAACCACTCTCGATTTCGAAAGGAACACACACACTCGTGTGGTAACATTTTAACGAGCGTTAGTGTATCGTGTTTAAATAGTACCATAGGCTTCTCGGTAGTGGATAGTGCCATTCAAAGGTTCCCGTTTCACTCCCACGATCTAGTTTCATGGCGTGTGTTACTGTCGCATTGATGTACCTCATGTTTCTGCATCAACAATTACGCCGGTAGCTACTTTCTCTCAGCGGGCCAATTACGACGAATTTGTGAGACCGCGACCTCTGACAGCCTCCTTTGTTTGCTCGCCCTAACAATCTCCACTATAATCTCTTCGTAGTGTAATTACGCGTAATAGCACCTCGGTTATTTCTGTTATGACATTACGGTGAAATTATCATTTTCTATTCCTAATGAGAGTTTTAAATGTCTTTTGATTGCATAGTGATTTGTCGGATGCAATTTTAACTTAATGTCTATGCATCAACTTTTATTCACATACAGGTAAGCTTTGGGGAAGGTTGCAACAAAGAAAATTTCAAGTCGATTCCTGGTCAATATCAAATCACTAGTTTGAGTTTTATTTGCTCACTTTCATATTAATCTAATATATTAGATGGTGGACAAACTGAGCGCTGTATTTTGAGACGTCTCTAAGAATAGATAGACGTAAATTTTCATTTATTTGATATTTTTCTCCAGACTGAATCGTTTTTTTTTGGACAGTCCAATGACTCGTAATGAGTCATTGGCGATTACTCATTGAAGTATTTTATACATTAGATTATATTAAATTTAAAAGTTTTTTATTTGACTGTTATTTATCATTATTTAAATTAGTACCCAACGTATTTTTTTACAAATGTACGTAATATTCGGCTATTTTGAGAGGTTCTTAGCGGTGATGTTTTTAGTTTTTCATAATAAATCTACCGTTGGAAGAATTATACGGTATCCTGACCATCGCAAGATCACTTTTGGATACAACGATATAGAATTTAAACAAAAAATAACACGATAAGCTATCCCAGTAAAAACTAACCTTTATTTTTATTTTGTTAGTAATTAGTGATTCAATTATCAATTGTTACATCTACTTGGAACTAATGGTATGTTGTAGGATTTATGCTCCCATTCACCTGCTGTTCGTGTTTAACGAAGGACCGACACTATCTTACATCTGGATTTATCGCTAACTGAACTAAATGGTCACGATTGAAATCAAGTAATTGAAGCGTCAATAGCCTAATGCTTGAGGGTACGGATTTCTAAACAAGAGGTCGGGACTTCGAATCCCGCCATTCGACTACTGTCGTAAACCATATCCTAGCACAAGCCTAGAGCTTAGTTGGAATGGTACAAGAAATATTAGCAATTTTTAATGAAAAATCTGCTATTTTAATTAAAAATTACGCCAATTTCAATGTAAGAAGTACCTAAAGCTGTGTTTAAATTCGTATCTTTTAAATATGTATTTCACATTTAACAATTGCACCATTTCATGCAACGTTTTTAAGCGGCTATTGTGTACAACAATTATATTGTTAACGCCAAATTGCTATATAGTTTACAAAATATTATAATAACCCTCCCCCATTTAACACGACTGAGGTTTCGCCATCCGCAAGGAAACCCTTTGTGTTTGACGGATACGACGTCAATTAAAAAAGTGTGCGAAAATGTTTCTTATCAAGACTTTTGCAATCGCAACTCATGGCATCGGTGCGTGAGATATATTACTGTATAGAAGTTTGTACTTAAAACATTCAGTTTTATTACTTAGATTGTCACTCCCTTTTTAGTTCTTATACGTATTTCTATGCTAGAGCCAATAGCAATTAATTATGGTTTTTATAAAGTACTAGCCGTTGCCCGCAACTCCGTCAGCGCGAAATTAAAAAACCAGACTATGTTTCTACTATACCGAATTTTATCGTGATAAATGCAGCAATTCCGGAGATATCTTCTAACAAACATCCATCCATAATCCATAATCCATACTCCAAACATTCGCATTTATAATATTAGTAAGATTTATAGAATTGCTTTACTTACAAAACTTATATAGATAATCCATTGCCATTAGTTCATTAGGGCCCCGCTTAGAGCAGTTTATGGGTCGCTGGTCACCTTGCCTTGGATCGCCGTATAAAGTTATATCTGACGAGGTCGTCGTGTTACACAACCAACATCCGAGCTGTGTTTTGTACCATCAGTTTTGTTCTTCCTCTAAACATGTATTGCATCGCATGTAATGCTTTTTTTTAAATTAGTAACTAACTAATTTAGTAGTTGACTAATCGTGGATTTCCGAGACTAAATCCCTTTATAAAACATATTGTTTCTCTTGTTTTTTCAAAGATAAATGATAGGGATGAAGATATGTTTTATGTTTAGAGATTTTGATCTCAGGAACCAATGGTAAAGTAGCGTAACTTTTGCTTATTTTTCTATAATTGGTACCCCATATGTCAGAGCTTTGATTTTGGTCAAAAGACGTGATTTTAATTCTATTGCTTAAATCAATAATTAGATGTCATTGGAGACAGTTCCTTTTTACAGAATATTTTAACAATAAATATCTTAGGTATTTTTCTCGATAACATGCGGACATAATTGCATATTGCGTTGCGTTATTTGTATTGTTGTATAGAAATTTTAATATAATTTTTATATTTACCTTGTAATACATACGGTGTGGCCATCTTTTCGCCATACTCGATAACGCAAGACATTAAAAGTATAAAAATAACATTAAAAAAGTTAATGAGGCGTTTTTATTCTCTCCCCTAATTATGTTTATCGTTGTTGTGCATGTTAAGTAAGCGATGTGCGGGGTGCTGGAGGAGGTGGGGTGGGGGGGGGTATGTTGCCACTTCTGCCGTATGCTACACAAACGTGAAAGCATCGGAGTTAAACCACGCGGAGGTCATATTTTGTAATACGCAAGCGTAGTTAGATAGTGAAATTGTGATGATATCGTACGTTTTAAAAACAATAGCATATTTTAAAAGAAAAGCGTCTGGGAATTAAATGTGTTGAATTTGTTGCGCGATCAACTTTTTAATTTATTTTTTCACAATGGGATTTTATTATTTAATGTATTTTTACTATCGTTTCTAACATTTCTATTGTTTATTAAGAAATGTCTAATAGACAAACCTGAGTTCGACGACCGATAAATAATCGTCACAAATACTTAAGGACTAAGAGTGGTATTAAAATGTGTTATTCATTCATATACCGCTCATTTATATGAATGAACGACATGCAAAGTGTTCCCAAATGAACTTCCCAGAAAGAATGAAAAATTTTCAAATAAAGGGTGTATTTTTTCTATTTTTATATCTTTCACTTTAACCTTGAGAAAAATTTTAAAGCAACAATTTTAATGTATTGAAATTATTGTCTGGCTTTGGATGAGATAATGCACAATACAGTTCGTAGGGCTGTAGGACACTGTAGTTCTATTGTAGTAACTATGGTGCGCTTACGCAAATGACTCGACGACGCCGCGCACCAAAAAGGCAAAGCTAACGCTTTTATGTTGCCATATGGAAAGGATGTAGTCATAATAAAAACGAAACTGAAATCCAACTACATTTATATTGTCCAAAGTACGATAAACATTTGGGTTATATTTTTTTCTTTTAATTTTCTACAATTTAGTATTACAGTATTTCATTCGACTTTTTTAGGATTAATAAGGTGATGGAATTAAAGGCAAAATTGACGGTAGATTTGTACGCTAAGACATTTTCATTAGAACAGATATCGGGCACAAACAATTAGTTTAATTATTATATAATAAAATAGTAGGTTTTTAGAAAATTAGCACCCTGTATATTGATATACAGCTATTTCATATAATGTATTACTGTAGTGTAACATTTAGTACGAGGTGCGATGTAATTCGAGCATTTATAATCGTTGAATTTTGCAAAAGCAACGGATATTGTTATCGGACTCCCCGCGATACCTGCCATCACTATGAACCTTTAGTTGTTAATTAGTTTATTTTTATTTTTAGACTATAGACTTTGTTTAAAGAACCATAATTATTTGCCAAGCACTTGATTTATCAAAATTTATTTGAGAAAAGGATACAATTTCATGACAATTAATTTAAGCGAGAAATCATTAACTTATAGGTCAAATACATACATCCTAAGAGCAATATTCTGCCAGACGAGTAATAAAGAACTATTGAATTGTTTAGCTATATATGTATGATATATCGATATTTCTTTTTCTATATTTTGAACTGTGATATTATTTACAAATTTTCAATAGTTTCAATTGCTTATTTCAGGTGAAGCCAAGAACTTGCCAGCTCGCAACAATGGCGCGGCCTGCCATCGAGACATATACTGTGTGCTGTCACTTGATCAAGAAGAAATATTTCGCACGTCCACCATGGAGAGAACACTTAAGTAAGTATATCATAGCTCTGATAGTAGCATCTTTAGGACATACGTTGCTTTAAGTCGACAGTCTGTCCGAACGCCGACCTCTAGTAGTCCGTATATGGAAATAAATAATTTTTTAGCCATATTTGGGAGAGAAGTTAACCTGTCTCGTTTAATTATAGTGAGTACATATTAAACAATTTGTTTGTACCATCCAAATGATGTAATAGGAAAGATATTTGTCACTAACAAAAATAGGTAGAGACAGGAATCGTCTGGCAATAAGTCTCGTTCATTTTGCCCGATGATGGATGAAGGACAGCGCCTACGCTTGCACATGACTTATGATCATCAAGTGTAACTAAAGCTTGAGTTACTTCTCATATAGTATTACATTTTATGCTTATGAACATCAATATAAACATTTTTTTTTATATCATAAGGTGGCAAACGAGCGAGCGGCCACCTGAAATCGCTGAAATAGCGAAGTGACCGCATAGACATACGCAATTGCATATGCGTTGCCTACCTTTAATCGACGAAGGGGAGGATGCACAGAAATAAAATATCTTCCCTTTCCATGCATCCTTTCCTTCCCGTCCTTTCCTTATAAGAAAAAGGGTGGGAAGGGAAAGAAGACTAAATAAGGCCTCCGGGACGCACACTCATCAGCCGAAACGCAGAATAACTTCCACTTGACGCCTGTCTACTGTGTGGTCGTGGTATTTCACCAGGCGAGCCGGGCCGATTCGTGCGAAGATGTTAAAGCGGGCTCTACCACTGTTAAAACGTGCTGATTGTTCTCAATTTACTGGTCAATGGCTCTACAAATTTTCATATTTTTTTTCGTATTATTTTATCTACGTTTACCTGCCTTTTAAAGGTAGTGACACTAAACTTACTTTAGATAAATATGTGATTCATAAAAGTAACGAGAAACTTTTAGTCCGTACAAAAATAGTGTTACCGTATGATCGGAATAACGGTCCCTTTGTCGAATATCCGGACCGGCTTCCGGCATTATCTATCGGGCGGGAGCGATCGACGTTGTAGTATTTAGGGAGCAAACAATTTTACTGGGTCAAGGCTCGGACGTTTATGAATGACTAAAAATTAACGTCTGTTAGTTTAAATTAAGAACAATTATCTAGAGTACTAACGTAGTATATAAATTCTTCGTGGATTTGTTTTTTGTTTCTTGCTTGCACAACTTGTATACTTAAACGTGTGTCGTTCGTAGTACCTACAATTACGAAACACTGAGTGTCAATTATAGGTACGTTTTGCTTTCGATAGCGTGATGAATGCTTTATTAGGTGTCGCGGCCAGTTGCCTTATCGGGTTCGTATTTATTCATGAATGACATTATGCACTACTGCTCCATTGATAGCTCGAACGTTGCAAAAAACTTGAACGTTTATTGACTCATCTGTCTCCTTGTTATTATTGTTTTATAGTCTGTTAATATTGCGAGTTCATGATGATAATTCTGACATGTCTATATCACGTTTGTAATGTGCTAATTATGTTTTATATTGCATCTCGACGGTAAATTTGATAAATGGATATAAATACATACTTTACGTATGTATTTATATCCATTTATATTTATATGTATATACTTTACGTAGGTATTTACGTATGTATTTATATCAAGTAAATAATTTTTATTTTATTATAATATAAGACACACGCACACGATTCCTGAAGACACTGTCGGATATAGGTGTGTCACATTCTAGGAACCGCTGATTTAGGATATGCGAGCGCTCGCCGCATCATACTTGTTTATAAATATCTAACGTGCTTAGTGCGCGGTTTGTAAACAGGATAATATGCCTTCCTAATGTTATACAAAGCAGCATGCCGAGCTTGATATTAAGTGATACAATTCACAAACCCATGGAATACATGAATAGCTATGGTGAGGGTGTAATTATTTTTTCGTCAATCAATTAACATTGCTACGAAGACGGTGTAATATTCAATTTACAATACCAACGCAATCCACCAATTATAATTATCTCCTTAAGAAATTGTGTTAAAGCAAATTTTAGAACAGTTTGTTAGCCCTTCCCATGTCACGCCACTGTACGCGTTCTGTCCGCTTTTGCGTTTTCGACATGATTGCACACAATTAAAGCGTTAAGTACCACAGCATTAATTGGTTGTAGTCGACAAAGTAACGTGGGAGTCGACTGTTTCGGGATTAGGAAAGGGGAGGTTTCATTGTGCGAGCGAGCGCTGCGGCGTGCCGCGTCCCGGATGCATTTCCGGTGCGCGCGCTTTGCTGCCGCTCCCCGCCGCCCACCGCCCGCCGCCCGCCGCCGCCGACGCGGAACGGCCCTTCCGCCCCAACCCTCCGTACTTGCACCAGAGGTATTCAGTGAAATACCGCAACCGTTTCAAAAGTTCTAGTACGCATAAAGTACATCCTTCTTGGAAAAAAAGGGATTTATAGAGAGGTCTTTGAAAACAATAAGACGGCCAGGCCGTGGCACATACACATACCATTAGAGGAGTTATCGGTTTAAATAAAACGCGCGTCGGTTATAGCAGTTCAAGTAGCTAGATGAGACGCGGTCGCGACACCATCTTCACGACATGTTTGACACTATCGCACAGGAAAGGGAATGGTTATTATTTGTTTGTCGAGCGATCGGAACGGAAGCGCGATAATGATTTTAGTGACCCCAGAGGTGAGCAGGACGCGATGGCGGATATCGAAGGAAATGTCTCGTCACTCGCGCGCCGGACCACTTAATGGGTTCTTTGTCTCACGATACCTTATCGCCGCGTGTCTGCTCCAAACTATCTGTGTACTTAGGGCAGATAGTCTGCACGCACACGCACATCCGTTCACACTACCACACCATGTTTGTGTACATATTTATTATCTACAAAGCAGCCGTTATTACGTCATTAAATAGTAATCAGAGAGAAGTAAAAATAATTACATTATTGACGCGTTAATATGCTAACATTAATGTTTTATAGGCTGATAAAACAGCAATAAGAAAAAACAAATGAGTTTAACCCCGTACTGTGTCGCGTAAACGTCATCGTCGAAGACCTGATATTATTATACATTGAGAATTTTATTTACACCTGAAGTTTTTAAACTGTGGCATTGAAGTACAAATATACTGAATAGTATTAGATTATGGAATCTTAATCTTACTTTGAAGAAGCAGAAGTGCAATATGAAGGCACGGATCACGGATTTATTTTATGTAACAATAGAATCAACTCTTTTCTGCTAACAACTTATAAATGTAAAGTATTTCGGATGAAAAGCATAAAAAGCGCTTCCGTTCAGTTGCTCTATTCTTCAGGTGTGAATCGTTCGTAAATCTCGCGGCGGCGCGGCGCGGGCGCGGCGCCGGGCGGAAGCTTTCAAGTGATAAATTGTCGGCGGAACATCGTAGTGGCGCGTAAAATGATCATCGCCCGACTTGAAATAGGGCACGGAGCGGCGGCCGATGCCGGCGAGTTGTAAGTGCGGTGCTCCTGGGTACTGTATATGTAACATGTCTATGTGTATAGATAGACCCAGCTAGCTATTACGACGACGACTGTGCCTACGCACAGTGTAGGTGTGGCCGCTCCAATTATCCCAATAGGCTATTTAAAAATGTCCGTCAAGAGCGACGCGGTGAATCATTCGATTCACACCACTTGAAACGGATTTTGTCCTGTAGTTTATAGTTTTACACGTCCACTCGTTTTGTAATAGTTTTATTAGTGTACTGTCCAATGAAATGAACAAACGGTTTCGGGGTTGCCGTATATAGAATTGTAGGAAAATTATTTATTTATAAGTTAATATTCATAAGTAAGCAAGTTGTAGTAAAATAATGTAATAATTAATGTGTAGTGTGAAGGCGTCGCATTAGCACAGTGCCGCCCCCGCAACACCGCATCGGCAACTCCGCCCCCGTTTTATAAATACCGAGTTGACGCCGGATGTAGTCAACAGCTTGTACCTGACGCCGTTTGACTGTCGCTGTGACGTTGATATGCTATGCAAATACTCAAACACATCTAATTCTGATGGAAGAGGAGTATACCTCTGCCTGTTCTTTTATCGGTTGGACTACAGAAAACATATCATTACTAACCGTGAGTTTTTAAGACCGAAATTTCCGTTCAAAATATATTGTTATCTCTGTTTCGCCAAATATAATGATATGTTTTATACAGAGATTTATGGTCTCAGAAATCAATAGTAAATGCTATTTTTATAATGTTTTCGCATAATTGACAAAATATGCATAATAATTCATTCTTTATTAAAATTTATTATTGTGTATTATCTTATCTATTCAAACCCTTTATCTTATTCTTCCGCTTTTGAATGCTAAGTAAAATAACAATGCGTTACATATGTGTGTATGTATTACATGATGTTAAATGCACCATCATGCATTAATTATTTTTCGGTCGGCAGCGTCAGTGTAATCGAACGGAAGGAGATTTTTTTATCAACGCGTCGTGTTAGCATATCAAATAAACAAAGTTGATTGATGATGGCGTTACAGGAACCGGCCGCGTGTTCATATTATAAAGACAATGTCGTGATATTATGTTAAAACATCCTTTGCATTATGACGCGATGAATTATAAATAAACTTTTTTGTTGTAAATATTGACGTAAAAGTAAGAGATAAAATAAACCTATTTTCATGCCTTAGTCGAGTTGCTTTATCATTGCTTTCGAAGGCGGTTAAGTCACTATTTGAGAGTATTATTTGCTCATGGGTTAGTTCGTTTTTCTGGTTGTGTTATCTCGACAAATAAAACTAAATGTAGAGGTTAATTTGGGAACATGAAAATATTAAACTGCTCACTTAGAATATTCGCACATAAGTAATTAGCATTGAAATGTGTTCTCTTGTCATGTTTATGACGATTACTGTTTTAGCAACAGTATTCAATTAGAGTGGCTCAGGGGGTCGAACACTTGACTTGCAATCTGCAGGTCCTGGGTTCGAATCCCGTCATGTACCAATGTGTTTTTCGATTTCCGATTTACATTTGTACATTTATCCGACTTTCTTACGGTGAAGGAAAACATCGTGATGCAACCTGCACATATCTGAGAAGAAATTCAAAGATATGTGTGAAGTCAACCAACCCGCACTGGGCCAGCGTGGTTGACTATGGCCTAATCACCTTTAACTTGGGGTAGGCTCCGAGCACCTCGGTGGGGACTTATAGTGAGCTGATGATGATGATGATTCAATGCGCGGTTAGCTTTATTAATGATTCTTTAACCTCATATTGGTGTAATAAGCACAATATCCGGCAGCCGCGCGGCGCAACACATTCATAACATCATTTCCAAGAATGGAGAAAGAAGCCATGTCATAAAGCCCGGTATGCTCAATGTAAACAAACCGTCCCGCATTATTGCGCTTTGTATCGAAACTGTTATTCTAATAACGGCTATTGTGCATTAGCTAATTCGATACATACCAACTGCCTATAACTTTCACTTTTGTCTTGCGGTAAGTCTGCGAACTTTTGACAGATTCTCCGCTGAAATCTATATTAATAATATATCTACATAATCTTCGACTATTAGCGATGTTATCCCGAAATAATTAATATGTAACACTAACGTTAAACGTTGACATTGAACATATTTAAAACATCCATATTTTTATTTTTCAGTCCTTTTTTCGGCGAAGAGTTCCAGTTCGAGGTGCCCAGAAGATTTCGATACCTTTCCATATATGTGTTCGACCGCGACAAGCATCTCAAGCAAGACAAGGTGCTGGGAAAGGTGGCGATCAAGAGAGAAGACTTGCAACGGTACAACAACAAAGACCACTGGTTCGCGCTGCGACCGGTCGACGCGGACTCAGAGGTGCAGGGCAAGGCATACATCGAGCTCATTCTCGAGGACTCGAGAAAACGGCTACGGATGGACCCGAAGCCGCCCGACCCGGACCCGGCGGCGGACAACTCCAAGACAAAGGGCAACAATCTCATCAGACTGTCGGAGTACTGCAAGGAGAACATGCGATTCGGCTCCTGCTCGAGCTCCACGAGCAAGAAGCTGCTAAGCGCCGCCGCCACGGAGCCCACGCTCGCGCTCTCCCGCTCCGAGAGCCTGAAGGACCGCGCGCAGTGGGCGATTCGCTCCAAGCCGCCCATGCACACCATGTCCGAACCGGACGCCTCGCCCACACCCACCGCCGCCGACTACTGGTCGGACCCCGAGCGGCACTGCGCCGCGCGTGCAGGCCCCGACACGCTGCGCCTACGCGTGCTCGAGTGCTCCGAGCTCACCACCAAGAATGGCCAGTGCGACCCCTTCGCTCTCGTCACACTACTCTACTCCAATGGACGGAGAGTCGAGAAGCGCACCAAGCCCAGAAAGAAAACCGTCAATCCGCAGTTTGACGAAATTTTCAGTTTTGATCTCGTTATGGAGGCTGACCCTAAGGACAGGGATGGATCTCAATCGGTATGTTAAACCAAACGATGGTATATATTAATCATATAAAACATGGTAGCTCAGCTTCTAAAATGATCCCTATGCCTATAGTTCTCTTTTGCATACCAGGAATGTATAAGAATGGTGTGATGTTTGTGTGCAGGCAGGCGTGGCGTGCGAGGCGCGCGTGTCGGTGTGGCACGACGCGGCCACGCCCGTCTTCCTCGGCGAGGTGCGTCTGCAGCTGCGCCAGCCCGAGCCCTCGCCTATGTGCGCCTGGTACATACACGTCATGTTTATATGTATACTACCTACCACTACCAAAAAATATACCTAACAAACAAGTTTACGTAAATTTTAAACTGATATTAGATTAAATTCGTGTTTGTAATTTGTGCGCGTTACTGCGTTCTACTTTCTTAGGCGTCGTAATTATTGCATTTACTAAGATAATGACATGAATCATGAGGCCCTCACGAGTATCGTATTGTAACTAGCGCGCGTATTAGTTTTCTTAGTAGACGTTTTGTTGCTTGGCGATGTTAAATTATCTTTAAAAAATAGTCTAAATTTGGCCGAAATCGATTCAGATATCACTACTATACTTCTTTTTGAATCTTTTAATTTAAAATTCGCTAGATGGCGCTGTCATTCCGGCTAAGCTAAACCTATCCTCTTATCTTACTTTATATACGATTCAAGTGTCCTATTTTTAATTATATTTTCTTATTTCATTTGTTGTAATTTGCAGGTTCTTTCTGACGTCTCGTGCGGGCGGGGCGTTGTCGCGCGGCGCCACGCCCCCCGGCACGCGGCTGTCTGCGGCGGGCAGCGCCACGCTCGGCTCGCTGCGACTGCTGCTGCAGTACACCATCGACCACGTCTTCCCCATACACCACTACCGACAGCTGGAGGAACTCTTCCTCAAGAGTGTGCACCAGAAGGTAGACTTTCACATATTGCCATGTTACCGTTAATGTGTGCTCAATGTTGACTGATATTTCACCTGATTTTGCATTATCTATGCAAAGATTAAGTCATATTGTAATTATACTAGTTTTTCTTTTTTGCTAAATATCATATTAGTTAAAAAAGCAGCCAGTTTGAGACTCAAATCATTAAATAAGTTACTTTCACATTTTCCAGCCAATAACGGCGTCCGCGGTGTACATCTTAGGCGAGATAGTATCCAGTAAGACAGACGCCGCGCAGCCGCTGGTGAGGCTGTTCACTCATCACGATCTCATTGTACCCATCGTTAAGGAGCTCGCAGATGCTGAGATATCTGTACTCACGTGAGTAGACAATTTCATTTTATTCTACGTATGTAGTTAACGCCTAAGCTAACTCTAGATAGCGCTCCTTACCCTTTTCTCACTTATTTAAATCTAACTAATATTGTAAATTCGAATGTTTAAGTGCACGGATGGATATTTGTTAAAAAGTACCTTTAGAACGACTGAATGGTACTCAATCATCCACCAATCACCTCACGTATCAATGAATTAAGATAATTTGGATGTAATAAAGTTGTGATTAATTTTAGTGTTATTACTACGTGTAAGAAAAATAATTGCTTATTATAATTGTAGAGACGCGACGACAATATTCCGCGGCAACACATTAGTGTCAAAGATGATGGACGAGGCGATGCGGCTGAGCGGCGCGTCGTACCTGCGCTCGGTGCTGCGCCCCACGCTGGCCGCCGTGCTGGCGGAGCGCCGCCCCTGCGAGATAGACCCCGCCCGCGTCAAGCCCTCCGCCGCCATCGCCGCCAACCTCGCCAACCTCAAGGATTACGTCGAACGGGTACGAGGCATAACAACCACTTGCTAAGCAATTGCCATTTCACTATGTTTCTTTGTATCGGGGGTGGGGGGGACCTTCAAAAAATACCCTACATTTTCGGAGAAAGACAGGGTTGTGTGAGACTTGCAAGTGGTGAGAGTTCCGGGATCTCAAAAGGAACACAACGGCACTGTACATTTGACTGTGTGTATCTCTTGTTGGTTACAGTTTAATATATGACATGCTATTTGTCTTGAAATTGCAATTAAGTAATAACCGTGGGGTTCCATTGTAGTAATATTGAAATGAATGTATGTATTAAATGAGAATGTTGTGGTGCGTTGCGAGCAGGTGTTCGGTGCGATAACGTCGTCGTACGGCACGTGCCCGGCGGCGATGTGCCGGCTGTTCGACGCGCTGCGTCAGTGCGCCGCGCGACACTTCCCCGCCAACGCGGAGGTGCGCTACTCCGTCGTCTCCGGATTCATCTTCCTCAGGTTCTTCGCGCCCGCCATACTCGGACCCAAACTCTTCGATCTTACTACTGAACAAATTGTAAGTTATCAAAAAAAAAAACACTATTAATTTCATTTGTTAAAATAATACTTTGTAAAAATATAGCCTATCTGTAATCTGTATCTGCAAAATTTATATTAAGGCAGTACAGTAGGACAGTAGCACTGGGCTGTCGTGGACTACATTCCTGTACACTGGCGCTAGTTATAATTTATACTATTTTTATGCTTATTAAGCGCTACTGTCTTATTGTACTGGAAAAATATAAACTCGGCATAATATTAAACATTGTGTCCAGGACCCGCAAACGAACCGTACGCTGACGCTTATCTCCAAGACGATACAGTCTCTGGGTAACCTGGTGAGCAGCCGGTCAGCGCAGCAGGTCTGCAAGGAGGAGTACATGGCAGAATTATACCGCAGCTTTTGCACACCCAGACATGTTAGTATACAATATAGGTTGCTCTTATATATTTAATATTTCCCTACCCAAAATATGGATAAGATGGATTGGGAAAGTGGTTTTAGCGGTGGACGGATGCTTTTCAAATATCTTGGCGAGCCAAGGTCATCGGCGCAATGCGCATTGTCCCTTCCACATCCAGATACACCTAAAATTGAGTTCTAGCAGTGACATCCACGAAGTTTAGAGCCACCAAGATATCTGAATACAGTTATACTTTTCTAAAGCGAAATCTAGTAGCCGCTTGCTTGTTTGTAATCATTAATTTAAAAAAAAAACTCATCAATATATTTAATATTTCCAGGTGCAGGCAATCAAGCAGTTTCTCGAAATAATCTCCACAAGTTCGGATACACAGAATAACAATATCCAAGAGTCTCCTGTCTTACTCAAAGAAGGGTAAGTTTTATATTGATATAGGAAAATATATAAAGTATTGAAGGGAAAAATAATAGTCGATTTTCATTCTTGCATCTCTTGGACTAGATATGGGTACGTTTTATTTGTTTTTATGTTGTTTATGTGTATTTTTCGTTGTTATGTGTTAGCTTTATGTATGAAAGCCATTGGTTTTATATTATTTTGCTTCGTTCTATTGTATTTGGGTAATTTGAGTTATAACTGTACTTGAATCATTCAATTAGAAATTCAAAATGTTATAAAAAATTGTGTTATATTAAGTATGCTTTTTTAAGATTGTATTTGTTTTAATTTTTGTTCAAATCGTCATTGTTTCTATAAATTTTAAGAGATGTGTAAATTTTATCTCACATGGCGCCGGAATAATAAATAAATGTTCCACTGGAGCAGTTATATTTAATACATTAATATGTAGTATCACAAAAGGGTTGGTTTCTGAGACCGAAATCTCTGTATGAAACATACCGTCATCTCTGTCATTATTTTTGAGTAAATAGATTTAACTAAATCGCGAACATTTGTTATGGACATACCTCATAAGTTCAGAGTTACCAACATGCGAATATATTTTCATACAAGATATATATATAAAATTGAACTAGCATGGTGTGATTTACGTTTTCAATCATTGCATTAGTTTTCTGTTTATTGGTAACAGCTAATGAAATGTTTACTTTTGTATCAGGACGATGATAAAGCGGTCAGAGAGCGCGCGCGCTGGCTCGGGCTCGCCGCGACGTCGGTGGACGCGGGCCGCGCATGCGCACTCCAAACGGAGACATTTTAGACTTACCAGGTGAGTTGATTTACAATAATAAAAGTTACATTACAGATGTCTTAAGAAAATATTCTAATCTGCTATTGATTTTTAGTTTTTGTATTTCTAGTAATAACGTGGTAGTTAATATTTGTAACAGTGGGGAGCTGACGTGGTCGCGCAGTGGGGCGAAGGCTCCAGCGCATCGGCTGCCGCTGTCTGGCGTGCTGGCCGTCGCCGCCGTCGACTGTCCGCCCGCAGGCGCTCCCCTCGGCGCCAACAATATCTTCCAAATAGGTAATTACACTTATATTAGATACCTCTGATGACATCTGTTATTTGGTAAGTCTGTAAATTGGTAAAGGTTACTTTTTTGGCGCCTTTACAAAGTAATCATTGAGATATCTATTATTATATGATGTTAATATTATGTGCAGTGCACCGGGAGCGCGTGCTGCTGCTGCAGGCCAACAACTGCGTGGAGCGCGCTGAGTGGGTGCGACTGCTGGCCGCGCTGTGTCGCCGCGCCGCTGCTGCCCCGCCCCACGCCGGCTACTATGCGGACGACAAGTGGACATGGTTAGTACTGTCACCCTCTTAAGATCCTTATCCACTCTTTAATCAGATTCCTGCCAATATACCAAATCTGCACTATGGAGGATAGCTTAACGATTCTCTGTGCAGTTAAGTGTGATATTGTCAAGATCCATAAGTGTTATTGTTCTATCAGTTGTGGTCGTGCGGAGGCGGAGGCGGAGGGTTGCGGCGGTGTGGGCGGGGCCGGTGGCGAGGGCGGGGCGGAGGAGCGGGGGCGGGGCGCGACGGCGGCGCTCGCGCTGCGCCTCGACCCCGCACGCGACCTGCAGCGCCTGCACGCCCTGCTGGTGTCGCACGCGCAGCGCCTCGACGAGCGCCGCCATCGGCCGCACGGTAACTACATGCATTATATACTACACAAAATACAATGCTTTGCTATGCAGACACTCGTGACCGTGGCTTTGAAACTCAGAGACGTCATTGGTAGGAAAACAATATTGAAACAGTTAATCGAAAGTGTAATAATACTCTAGTAAATTTAAATAAAAGTGTAATTTGGCTAACTAATTTCTTCTTCAGATGGCGCAACGCTAGAAGAACGCGAGGCGGAGGCGTCAACGTTGTGCGAATTGCAGAAAACAATATTCGACCTGGAGCACCAGCATCGCATTTACAGGCGGTCTCTTGCGAGAGAGACCAAATATGGCAGCAAGTAAGATACACTTTATTACATTAAAAATTAATGTTTTTTTATAAAAATACAAAATGACACTTACAGTCTTACTTTTGTCGTAGACAAGCGCCGATAGGAGACGATAACTATCTGCACCTGGCGGGCGCGGCGGCGGCGAGCGCGGAGGGCGGCTCCTTCTTCTGGCGGACGTGGAGGTGCGAGATGTCGCCCACCATCGACCTCGACGGCAAGACCTTGCCGCTGCAGCAGACCTCCATCGACATCGGATCCAGTACGGAGTCCCTCAAGCTGGCGCGTCTCGCCGACGAGCGCTCCTCCGGCAAATCCAACAAGTCTACCGGCAGCGGCTACCTCACCATGTCCTGTCTCAAACATGAACCCTCCGAAGATAGCGACGCATCCAACGACAAGCCGGCGCGGCCGCCCAAGCCGGCGCGTCTCTCCCCTTCCCGGACCACCTTCTCCGCCCCGCCCGCCCTCTGCGAGTACGTCGACGTCGAACTCAAACCACCGCGGCGCGGCCCCAAGCCGGACCTCGCGCCCAGGCGGCCCGAACTCGACGTCTCCAATCGTTGCAAGGAGTACGAGCTGATGGCGAACTTCATGAGCCATGCGCAACCCACGGACGAGGACGCGCCTCCAGCAGTACCCCCGCGAGGCAACACCGCCGCGAGGAACCGACTGCAGCCCAAATCCGACGTCGAACTCCGACGGTCCCGAGAACGTTCAACCCTCGTGCCCGTCACCGGCGGCTCCTGTAACAGCTTATCCGGCGATGGCGCCCGAGACGAGCGCGAGAGCCCCACGGAATCGACCAGACCACTCAGCAAAGTCGACACCGTGTCCAACGACGACAGCCTCCTCGCCGAACTCCAACGTGACACCTACTGCGTCCTGAAAGTGTGCGAGGACGAAGGGCAGGAGCGCGAGGCGAGCGAACTAGAATCTGAAGGCTCGATAGATCGTAAGGAAAAAGAAGACTTCGGAATGTTTTCTAGGATAAGTATACAGAGGAAGTCGAATCCTATAAAGACGCAGCCTGCCTCCATAAAGCCCTTGAAAACGTCGAGTTCGACGTCGAACGTTCACGACGCGGGTACCAACACGTCGCGACCGTTCACAGAACGATTGACGCCGTTTTTCCTAAAGAAAAAACCGAAACCACCCGACGACTCGCAGGCGGCCAAAAGTGCGCGCAAAGAGGACAACCTTATAGGGAGACTGACGCCTCGGTTTGGCCAGTCTCGGCTCTACGGGCGGGGTCAGTCTCTCGAACTCGCCCCCGCTGAAAACCGTAACAAGCGAATAGAGCGCTCCGCCACCACGGTCAATATACAAACGAGACCGATCAACTCCTCAATAGTGGCAAACTTCAAGTTCCTCAGTTTGCACAGATACGGGCCGCAAGAGGACGTCCAGTGTCGTACCTTCGTCCGCAACGAGGACGGCGAACATCTTATGCCGAAAGCCGAAGCTTCGACTGGAGTTGTAGAGCGAGAGACGTCCAGGGAGGGCGGTGAGATGGAGTATATAGTTAGTGAAGAGGATGCCTTAAACGGTGCCTCGTGGCGACGCACGCACGGCCCGCTGCTGGCTGCCGCCACAAACGATATCAGACTGTAGCGACTGAAGTTGTGGAGCAAAGCTCGAGTGTTGTATATTGGTGCAGAGTGTTGTGCAAAGTTGTCCTCGCGGCACGTGTCAGCCACGGAGCAACAGTATTTGTATGTTTTGGTGCGACTCTGTGTGTGGAACGTGCACACATTTGGCAGTATGCGTGTGTGCTGGCGGTGCAGTATTTGTATGACTGCATCAGATGCAAGTGATTATGGTGCGATTGTAAATTAACTAGACTAGCGTTGTATTTATTTCTATATTTTTCGAACTCCTTTTCGTCGACCTGAAGCATGTGCCTCCCTAGTTCGTAGTGGTGCTGAATGAACTTTGGCTGTTGTATAGCGTTAATACTCAAAAGGTGCCAAGCGTTGTGTTGTGCGACCGACATCGGGTGAATGGACTCTCATTCCTGTAGCGCAATAATCTTATGAAGCTATATCCTATACTAAAGAGTTATATATATATATATATTTTTGTGATCGGCATCACTGTCCAATGTTGAATCTATCGATACGAAGTAAAAAGTGTTAGCATATTGTATATTTTATTTTGTGTATGTTATTTGTAAGAAAGAATGCCATGGTGTAAATAGTTTTTGACTGGTCTATAGGCAAATTTATTCGCAACAAGTTCAACTAATTGTTTTTTTTAGTTGATTGCTATTTATAGCTAAGAAAACAAACATAAAATTGTATGATATTTGTAAGATAATATTCTCACATAACTATCTAGTTATTGTAGCGAATGCACACAAACTAACAATTTTTAAATGTTAAATCTCTTGTAATCGAAATATTTGCAAAGTTTAAAAGATACAAAATATTTTTCAGATTCCAATTTATATTGTTACGATCAGCATTTTCATAATTTAAATGTACTTAAAATTGATATTATTAAAGTAATTATTTCATTTGTTTTTGCAAATGTAAGGAATTATTGTGAATGTTTGCGACAGTGCGGGCCTCATTGAGCCACATTGGGCCTAATAGGGCCTCACTAAGCCGCACTGGGGCTCCCTGAGCGTCTGGACCTCACCGGTCTCGCCTACAACGACGGCCTTCGCCGACACCATTACTTAAGCTGTGATTCTCTTTATAAAACTCAAATCATATTTACGTAGTCTAATGTAGTATATATTGAAACAGTCAATTGTGCTAATGTACGCGGTAGGCAGGCATATTGTATCACTATGTTAACATTACATATTAAATATTTCGATTTTTTTATTATATAAACTTTGAAACGGTACTTTGAATGAAATTCTTTAAAAAAAAACTTTAAATTATATTCTAAATACATTGTTGTCCTATTTCTACTGAGAATTAATTTATAAGAGATAATCTTTAAAATGAAATAAAGCAATGTACAAATTAATATTTCTTTAAAATATAATGATATGTTATTTATTTCACTTATTTTCATTTTTCCAATAAAATGACAGAACATACTATACCTTATTATTTGGAAACATGAGCATGAGCAGGGGCATACCGATTGAATATGCTTCCAAGATGTTAAGTGACATGATTATGGACCGCAACTTCTTGAGTAAAGGACACACAAATAGATGCTGTGAAGCGATAGTAAAAGAGTGGAGTACATCAAGTACGTAACATATTTTGCCTTCATATCGTATCGTCTGTTTAAAACCCGCTACACAACCTAGGTTTCAACTGAAAACTAAAGGTATGTAGGAAAATAGAACTGTACAGTTTAACGGTCCAATTGTACATTTAAAAGTGTGCTTTTAAATTGAAGATGTTGTGAGGGGTTCATACCGATTGCGTGCCATCACGATCGGACCATAGATAAGTGTGCATTACTTGTTTTTGACGACAAAAAAGAAAAAAAGTAAAATGTATTCTCCTAATGGTAGGTTTATTAATCATAATTACAAATCATCTTGTGAATTGAGCAGCTGGATGATAATCTATGGGGCGATGCTCAACTCTAGATTTACACCGTGTACAAAAATATTTGTTCGTGGGTAGACCGATAAAATTAGTGACAGCTGAGTAAACGTAAGATTCTGATTGCGAAAACCACCGTATCGTTAATCTATGTTCCTTCAACGACACTGAAATTCGTGGTAATGTAATAAGTGTTTTTTTCAACGGAAATGGCATTAAGTTGCGGAATGCTTTAGTGGAAGACTTAAACGTTACAAATATAATTTAAATGCAGAGGAAGTTACACTTCCAACAAGTGAGGTGTCCCAGCTATAACACAGTACACTGGAGAAAATAATAATGGACCAAACACGTACATCATGGGCTTCAGGACCGTTTCTGCGTGTCAAGGTACTAAACCTAATAAAAGCGTATCTTTGTATATTTATTAGTAAAACATAGTGTTAATGTTTCTATAAGAATTTATCATATATATTATTCTAAGAACATGACCGATTAAAGAAAATTTTTCACATCCCACAAAAACATATATTTTTATAAACATAAACAAAGTAACGACTTATTTCCTTGGGGAATTCCCCAAGGTTTCTCCGAAAAATGATGAGGGCTAAGTTTGTACTCGCGCATTTGTTGTCCAGATGTTATTTTTATTAATAACACTAGCTGTCCCCACGACTCCGTCCGCGTTAAAATTGAAAAAAAAAGGAATAGTTTATGTGTTCTTACAGACTATATTCTACATCTACACCAAAGTTCAGCGAAATCCATTCAGCCGTTCTGGAGCTTCAAACAAACATCCATCCAAACATTTGCAGTATACTCGTATATTAGTATGAGTTTGATTAATATCAGAATGACAACATGTTTTGTTGTGCTATCGTACTTTATATTTGTTTCACTTCTATTCATTTTGCGTTTACCAAACGTCCAAACATTATCTATAAGAAATCGTGCTGTAAAATAAACAAGCTTGCAAATGTCTACGCGGCGTAGTCTTAACGGTTATTATTCAATTAGCAAACGTACTTCCCCAGATGAAGGAGACTTCTCAGTATAGTTCCAATGTGATATATGGCAAGAAAAATAAAAAAGAACTATAGAGTTAAAAACACTTTTTATTGCTTCACTTCTCAGGATAATAACTTAATTGGAGATGATATGACTATACTTAATAACATAAAATTAATATTGGTCACGATATAAATATTTGTACGTCTTTCATTTTTTCGACTGATTTATACAAAGTTAGAATGTGTGAGGTTATCTATGTTTTGGGGAATATAAAACTTTCACAAGTACAAGGCAATTACAACGTGCGGTTGAATGTACAATTTAAGCATTTAATAAATTACAATTGTTTTTGTGCACGAAATACACGAAAATAGGCATTCAATTGCTGGGCCAACAATTAGTCACGATTGCTGCTTATATTCCTTTATATACTGATAGAGTAAATGAAAAATAATTAAGATCGGAATTTTAATACAAATTATTAACGATGATGTTCATATTCTTAAACCTTCATTCTCATTTTAAAAACCTTTAAATGTATTTAACACCGAATGTTGCATAATTTACTTAAGTGTTACATACTTGTTCTGTAGCGCGCAATTTTTTTTATTTTGTATAATATAATATAGCGCATTGGCATCTGCAAAGGCATCTGCGTTGCCTACCTCTTATGGCCAGAAAATACACAGATAAAGAGGATATTTCCGCTTCGAATTTGTCCCTCCCCCGTCAAATGCATTTCCTCTTCCAATTCTTTCCTAATGAAAAGGGTGATTAGGGTAAGAGGACTTTAAGGCCACCGGCGCAAATATCTGATCTGAGACTTAGACAAAGCTATGAGTTTTATCTAATAATTTCTTTAACTGCATCGTTTAAGTTTTCACTATTGTATATTGATATTTGATTACCGATATAAAGGTAAAAAAAATAATTGGAATGAAGCAAATAATTATCCTAAATATAGTCTAAAGCTTAAACTTTGCCTTTAAAAACATGATTTTTCTTGAAGACCATTGCATAAATCACTGAATTGTTAATTTACTGGTACAGATAAATAAACAGTTTATTTTGTTAGTCGGGCTGATATTAATAATTGTTTGTATTGATCTTACGACTTCTGCTTCTATGAACCGATACGTTTCTCAAACGTCGATAAAGAAAAAGCAATGGCGCTTTGACCTTCGAGCCACTCGGTAATAACAAAACTTACTATGGTATTATTTATTGTGAAATAAGTAAATACTTAACAGTAACCATAAAATCGAGAGACTTCAAAAAAATATAATATGTTGAACTAACGATTTTGTATGATTTGTCTAAATCTTCAGATTATTGTCAAAAATTAAATGGACTAATGTGAGAAATACATTGAATCTTTTCCTTATATTCGAGGTGGCAGTGGCACAGACTAGCTTGAATGTGTTAAGGCCCCTAAAATTTGGTACCTACTCATACGAAGGGTAGTTATAGAGGTTAAAAATAGTAATTATAATTTAGAGTTTAGATGAAAAGTTTGAGCGTCAGTGTCTATGAAGCGTATCTAACGCATTGTCGGGAAGCCCACGATGCGACCACACAGCAGAGGTAAATATACAACATGCCTGCGACACATACATATAGTGGCCGCGGCCGGATTTGTGACGAGTTTCGCGGCGGGCACCGACTGGGGCACACGTCGACGTCGATAGTCGCCCGACACTAGTATTTACCTTCGGCCTGTGGGCATCGAATGCGGAACGTGCCGTTGTCGAGCGGCAATTGATGCAATCATCTTGTTGAGCGTAAACAAACGAGTGAGTATGAATTCTTTTATGTAACATCGGCCTCCTGCGCCGGCCGGTCAATTATATTTTTTCTTATTTCTTAATCAAAACCAGTGACTAATCTATTAATACTTGCTCGTATACAATGACTACTTGTGCCATATTTGCAATCTCAATGAAATATGGTTTCAATTTGACAAGATGAATGAAATGTGTCACTTCTCACTTTATTTTCCCCCGGTTGCAATCAAACAACCGTTATGTGTGCCCACATTATGTGTTCCTCATTTAAGTTATTTAAGAGTAGCTATTTTTCACTTTTGGTAGGTATAAAACTTGTCTATTGTTGTCTCTTTGTCATAAAAATGAGAGATAGACAAATTATTTTGTGACGGTTTTTTATCAGTAGAAGCCCATGGTAAGAATGAGAAAGGTCCTACGATCTTCAAGAAAAGATCAGAGACTTGCTTCCTCATGATCTTATACTTACGAATGAACTTTTTTGACGTATTAAACAAAAGAAATATGTTTCTGGGGGTAATTCATCGTCCTTTTTATAACCAATCCAGTTCGTTTCTTCTAATCTGGTAAAATTTTTGTGTATTCAAATCACGTAGTCTACGTGACGAACTGGACTCTACTTCAAATCAGTATTATGCATGTACAGAACTTGTTTTTCTTTAAAGTAAAAATATCCCGTAATCTTTGAATTTATGCATAAATTAATTGTATGCTGAGGTTATCATTGAGTATATTCCATAAATAGATCCATTCTACCGGGTAAATACCGCAACTTAATAAATAATAGAAAGTTTAACGGGGCAAACTTGACAATTAATTTATTTGTTTCTTTCTTATCAAAGAATAAATAAAATATTTTCAATGTCTAACTTCTAGGCTTTTAGGTCATAAAGATCGTGAGATTTTTTTAAATTTAAGTCCCTTATTTGCTTTAATGCAGCATTTAAATTAAAAGTGCATTCACATTTGAATACATTTGATATGATTAATATATGTCCAATATAATTATATTATGTTTTCGTTAGATTAAATTAAATATGTCGCTATGTTATACATTGAAAAATATATGTAATTGAACGTATCATGTTATGATTAAACTGCACCGGGCACTATAATAGTTGTAACCTAAATAGTTAATTAAACTTACTTACGTCCTAGGTTAACAGGAAGAATTACAAATTATATGTGAATTATTCGTTTCTTTTTATTTATTTCACGAATGCAGTTTAGTAATTAAAATTAAAAAATATTAATCTATCCTTATAATGGTAATAGCTTTACACATAAATATTTGTTTTCGAGTTGTGCATAATGCGTTCATATGATTAATTCTGCGTAGCAACCTTGAATCCATTGAACATTATGCACTCGGTCGTTGGTTAAACTTAATTCAATTGAAATTTCCTGCGGCGTATTCCTAAATTATTTCATAACCTTTATTTTTGTTTACATCGCAACTCATCATTCTTTTTAATAAGAAATTTTTAACATTGTTAGGAAGAAAATACGACACTGTGCCGGTGTGTCGACGCAACACTAGACTAATTATAATGTCAACGTTTATGTACCCTCACGAATCAATCTTACTTGACTTGGTAACGAAAACCCGCCATTGGCGCCAAAGGATTGTAACTAATAATGTCTAAAAATATTAAGTTCCAATATAAGGAATATTACAATAATAGCATGTCTGTGTGGATGATGAATGTGGCAGACATAAAAGGTGTGACAGTAGCGCGACAAATGGAAGTCCGTTATCTTTCCCCTCCTTTCTGGGTCATAGGTGCGAGTATTGTTGTTGTTGTAGCTAATAAGTCGGTGACAGTTATCTATAAAAATTAACATTTCTACGTAAGCCCATATGTTTTTAACATATTTATTTTTTCTATATATCAAGAATTCGGCAAACGTGCAAGGAGGTCATCTGATTGCAATATCTACAACTTCAGTAGCTTTTGTTTTTCTTAAATAGAACTGTCGTAATTTAGAATATGAAAATAATAAAAAATAATCCATCGGATACTGGTGATCGCTATATTGTCGTATTACGGTCGTTATTTATTAAGAGTTGCCTCTTATAAGTTTAAGTAAATTGATAAATTTTATCTTTTCTTCTTCTCGACTGAAATATTCATGTCAAATAGCACATGTAATTTAAGTAATATTCGCATGAAATCTAAAAGTGTTCGATTAAAATATTTAAGATAAAATTGAAAGATGATTCTATGATTTATTATTTTGTTTTGTAGCACAATGATGTCACGCGGGCTGCACGTCCTGCTATGTCTGTCCGTAATGGTGACGGTGGCGTTTCCTCACGCGCTGCCAACCGAAGAAATTCTGGTGGTGACGACGGGCTCCGGCGGTGACGTAAGTTCTTTTCTGACTTTCTTATCGATATCGATTCCTCATTGTACTTTCGTTTCTAAGTATAATAGGTAGCTCTTTAGTGCTATTAAGTAGTATGCAGGACTGTACTCGCGCAAAATTGAATTATCAATATTTTATTCATAATCACAAAGTGATCTTTGTGTCCGATATTACTTTAAACTTGGTTATAAATATACCAGTTGCAATTTGGGTATTCTATCGTGTATTTAATCTTCATACAGACATCGTCGAATGTGACGCCGAGCGAAGCAGTGGAGGTGACATCGGAGGAGCCCAATGCCCCGATCGCGCTCACCGAGATGGCGGTGCGGTCGGAGATCAGCTTGCGTTACGCCAGCACCGCGGTGGTGGCTCATGTGCACAACCCCGCATCCCGCGCACAGGAGTACACCTTCAGGGTACTACTGCCGGAGACTGCCTTCATCAGCGGATTTGTCATGTACGTCGTAAACTGAATGAGATTTATAGATATGTGTTTCTGTGCAAAAATATAAAAAGAAAAGCCATTGAATTGAAACAAAGATGTACATAACAATAATACATATTTTCAGGACTTTAGAAGGGAAACCCTACAAAGCTTACGTAAAGGAGAAGGAGGAGGCTAAGAACATTTATAATCAAGCGGTGGCACAGGGCATCGGGGCCGCGCACGTTGCTGCCAAGTACGTTTCTCAAAATGACTCCCTCGTAGTCTCTGCAATAATCCGCTACGCTGCGGATTTTATTTTAGTTAACATTTTTGTCGCGAACCCTTAGAGCTCGTGATTCCAACGTGTTCACGGTATCCGTGAACGTGGAGCCGAAGTCCCGCGCGGTGTTCAATCTGACGTACGAGGAGCTGCTGTCGCGGCGCAACGGCGTCTACAACCACGCAGTGAACCTGCACCCCGGCGCGCTGGTGCCGCGCCTCACCGTCACCGTGCACATCCGCGAGACCCAGGGCATCGCCGTGCTGCGCGTGCCCGAGATACGCACCGGCAACGAAGTCGACGCTACCAATGAAGACGCACGTATGTTTACTTTGACGTCATCACATATGTCCAAAAAATCTTATAAAATCATTTAATCGCCTTTGTTTAATTCCTGTAATGATTTGAGCTTTCTGACCTATGTGCGTTTGTGCAAATTGTGCTTTAGGAACTTGTAATTAATATTACAGGTAAAATCCTTGTTTAAATCGGCGAGTTATCATAAAAACTTTCGTGTTATAGTAGTTCATAACATTAGGAAATCGATATAATGTTTTTTTTTTTAAATTCGGTTAATAGTGATCTTACGTGTTTCCAATATAACAGTGGGGGAAAACCAGACAAAGATTGGTCACAAAAAAGAACCATGAAGCCGCGACCAGTGCTTCAGCTATTAACCAGTTTGACAAGTTAATAGTGTGCGCGGTCGTGTCGGCCGTTAACATACACTGGGTCATTGAATCCATATTATACATACATATGTTCAAAATAAAAGCATCATACTCTTCACTTAAATGTTTATTAAGAAATTATAATTCTAACTTTACAAAAAATATATATAATACAACACACTACGTTTTAACAAATATAAGTAATTTAAGACAACACTATTCTCTGCTCATTGTTACAAACTCACTCTTTTTTACACTGAAAAATGACAAAACACTACTCGATAAAAGAAAGAAACAAAACCTAACGGCGCCACTATGTGCCAGTAACTTTTTACTATTTTAGTGGCGCCCTTTAACGTTATGTCGCTAATTACGCTTAGACACATATATGTACTTTTTATTACTTAATAACCCAATGGCTAATGATAGGGACATGAATCATGAAAATCTAATTCAGAAATTATTTAATATTGAATTACTTAACTCTATACTAATTATTAAGTGACTAATTAATTAATCTGCCAAAATAATACTATAAACTATATACTTAAACTAAACCAAACTAAATAATATAAAAAATCGACCCCAAATCTCTGCGGTCGCACGGTAGGGTTCCCAAGAGGCTGGCGGCATTTCCCCGTTGGATGGCCAGGCTCAACCTTTGCCCGAAATGCGATTATTTAATTAATATCATGACTCTGTTAAATGATCGATTATTTTAAATATCTGCTAAAAGCACATTAAACATTAAGGTTAGCGGAATTTTGAGTTGTTTTTATTTGCTGTTGATTCTAATATGAAAAACAACTGTCTAAATTATCCACAGTATGTTTCTAAATTCTTATTGTTTTGCAGAGAACAAAAATGCCGTAATTAAGCGAAGCAATAAAAATCGTGAGGCAACTATCACGTTCACACCAGACCTCGAAGAACAGAAAGTATTGATTCAAATATATAAGGTAATTATTACTCGTATTTTTATTAACAGCATAATTTGACTCTAGTCAATAATTTTTACTCTTATATTTTGACACTATGAGCAATTACTAACTGTATAGACTATTCAAAGACTATTTTTTTGTATTAGTTAAGGACATAAACATATTGTTTGTTGCAGGACAAGAGTAGTGGTCGCAATGTGAACAGGTACGGGTACCAGAGCCAAGAGGAAGTGCCGCAGGATGGCACGCTCGGACAGTTCGTCGTTCAATACGACGTCGATCGCTCCAAGACCAATGAAGTTTTGGTGAGTATTGTTTTATGTTATTCTAATATTATATAATACGTATATTTGTAAATGTAATTCCTTGCAATTGAAGTTGATCACTATGTACTAACGATCTATTTTTGTTTTAAACTCATCAGACATTTTTCATTCTGCAGTAAAAGCAGTCAAGTATTTTATAATTATGAGTTTTACAGGCTTATTTATTAGCGCGTAAGTTGCATTAAGGCTGGATATTCTTTGAGCATATAAGCTAGCCTTTACCCTTCATAATAGCTATATGCATATTTCAGGTAAACAACGGCTACTTCGTGCACTTCTTTGCGCCGAGCGAGCTGCCGCCGCTGAGCAAGCACGTGGTGTTCGTACTCGACATCTCCGGCTCCATGAGTGGTCGCAAGATCGAGCAGCTCATCGAGGCCATGCAGACCATCCTCGGAGAACTCAACAAGGGCGACGTTTTCAATATCGTCCAGTTCGAGTCTTCGGTTCAGGTAGGCGTTACAATTAGTCCATTTTTGCCTGCGATCTTCTTGTAAACTTACAGAAGTATATCTAGATTTAGGACAAACACCTTGAAATATAAATAGTTTTCTTTAGCCCAATAGAACTTTTGATTTTAATGAATATTTATTTTAGATTCTAGATATAGCGTCTGCTTACGAGCGGCCGGCCACGTACGAGAACAATTTCTACTACCGGCCCGCTTCATACGACATTCCGCCGCTGCTGCCGCCCGTCCCCGCCACACCTGACTTCATCGCCAAGGCCAAGCTGCTCATATCCAGACTTCGCGCTGGCGGTGGTCAGTACTTCTTACTGTTAACCACTGGAAAATCTGCTACTTGACACCTTTTCCTTTTTTCTCATTAATATATTTTTGTTTTTTAGGAACAAATATCGGCACTGCTCTCGACACGGCGATTGCCCTCATACAAAAATACGGTGCCGCCACTCGCAATGTCTCCGCTGCCGCCACCACCACCACCACCACCACCACACCTGCCGCACAACACTCTGAAACCGGTGAAAACACATCGGATGCGTCAGTTCCAGAACCTGAGAAGAAACAAGATGGAGCTGCAGTTCAAAATAACGACAGTGAAATTAAAAATGGTAAATACGTAAACGATTTTACCAATGACGTATTCACTTGCAGCATTATTAGTGCCCGAAGTTCATAACAAAATTTCCAAAATTGTTTTCAGATGAAAAGGAACCAATAATAATTTTCCTAACGGACGGCGAGCCGACTGAGGGCGAGCGAAATCCTACAAAGATCATCAGCGTCGTGGCTGAGAAGAACTACGGAGACCACAAGGCGTCCATTTATTCCCTAGCCTTTGGTAAGCTTGCTTTATTGATTCATACATATTTACTAATTGTTCTTTATTAATGCTATTATTATGTTTTAAAATAAGGTACAAAAAGTGGTATTTGGCGTGTACGGTTATGTTGTTGAGCACGTTTGTGTTGCAACAGGCGAGGACGCGGACAAGTCGTTCCTCCGCAAGCTGTCGCTGAAGAACGTGGGCTTCAGCCGGCACATCTACGAGGCGTCGGACGCGGCGCTGCAGCTGCACGACTTCTACCGCCAGATCTCCTCACCCCTCGTCGCCAACGTCAAGTTCGTCTACCCGCCCGACCAGGTCACACGCGTTTATTTTATTTTTAATTATTACGTGGCAAACGGTTTGTGTTCAGCGACCATTGCTCATAGGCATCTTTATCGAGAAAATAGTTTATAGATGCGTTAAAGTTCCACGTTCGAAGTAAGTTATGGTTTGCTCAGGTGAAGGACGGATCGATAACGAAGCACAAGTTCAGACGGTTCTACGCGGGCTCGGAGGCGGTGGTGGCGGGACGTCTGCACGAGGACGCCACAGAGCTCGCTCCACACGTCTACGGCATCTGCGGTGTCGGCCTCGACGAGGGATCCAGGGTCAGTCTTCATAAAAAATATTAAACAATTGTAGAATTTTGTATTCTTAGTGTGTGTTAGTAACGGTTGTATCGTGTTGTAGAAACGTTACGACGTAACTACGTCGGTGTCGGTGGCCGACAAGACGGAGTCCTACCTGCCGCTGGAGCGGCTGTGGGCCTACCTCACTATCCAGCAGCTGCTCGACGAGCACCAGGTCACCGACCTCAAGGACGATGATGAGAACAACCCCGCTAAGAAGGCGCTCAAGTTGGCACTTAAGGTACACAATACACAAAAAGTTTAGACTATAAAGCTACTATTTGCAGTAATAAGCTCACTTGCGTTACTTTACGTGCCCTATTTCCTCTACACAACACAAATAAATATATTATAGTACTTATTTAAAACCGAAATACATACTCGTTATATAACCCGATCTGTTAGTTACTTAAAAAAAATGTTCATTACTTCTGCTCCAAATAGTCCAAAAACAACATGTCATTGTTACAGTACGAGTTCGTGACGAGTCTGACATCGCTGGTCGTGGTCAAACCTAACGCGACCAGTGCTGTCGATACTGAATCTGCAGATAAAGGTAAAATTGTTAAAATTTCATGGCCTTTGCATTATTATTTAGCAATTAATTAAATATAATCGAATCATTCAAAGTATCTGTACACTTTAAGTACATTTAATCACAAATTGAGAAATCTAAAGAATAGATACTAGAAATTCTTTGATATTGATTATTATGAAATAAGTGAAATAAATCTAGAAAAAAAATAATATATTTTTGGTATTTCAGCTTCGTCGTCGTTCCCTACAGGTGAGGAAAAAAAATCAAATATACATTTTTACAGAAAAGGTTAACATAAAATTATTAAAGACAAACCTAAAAACTCTTTTTATATAAGCAATAATAAAAAATGTTTCGATCTCAGTAATCCCCGCAACGTATATTGCCTAATCTTGAATTATTAAAGAACACAAGAATGTATGAAACAGAAAAAACTAAATGGTTCGTTTTGTATTTGGCAGCGTTTTACGATTCCGCGCCACCGAGCGGACCTTCTTCCTTCTCGCATTACTCCATGATGGGTAAGTTTCTCATACAACACTTTAACTACCAGAACCAGCAGTTCGTCCGATGATAGGTCGTGGAGACCTACTCGCGAAACTCTGGCGAAGTCTTTGCTCTGAGAGTATCTTATATAATGACTGGTAGAAAAGTTGATTGGAGAAATATAATCTATAGTTTTTTTTTTATTTTCAGCTCGGCCTAGTTACTCTAATAGTAAGTGTTTTTTTTTTAATTTTACATAGAGTTAGAAATTAAATGAAAGTGATTTCTTGATTACTTAAGATCATATAATTTTAATAATTTTTCTTTCTTTTTTTTTAATTTGTATTTTTATCAGCTTCATTAATTTATATCACACATTGTCACTGCGCGTTGCTTCGCCATTATATTTAAATTGTTACGATTACGAAGTTATATCAATAGCAAAGAATTAATCATGATGATTGTGGCACTGCTTCATTTTGTGTGCTTATATTTTACATTGGATGAGATCGAAAACATTTAATTTTGCTTCTCATGGGATATGCATGGAGGTCAATGAAAGGAGGTTTTACGATTTCGTTTCTTCGGTTCCATCCTTACTAATATTATAAATGCGAAAGTAACTCTGTCTGTCTGTCCTTCTTTCACGCAAGAACTACTGAACATATTTAAATTAAGTTTGGTACACAGATAATCTAGAGCCTGAGGAAGGACATTGGCTACTTTTTAACGCGAAAAGAGGGTTGTAAGTGGTTGAAAGTAAGGGATGGAAATTTGTATAGTAATCATAATTTTTACAGATAGAAGCTTGAAACTTATTTTTTAGGCTGTTAATTTAGTATAAATAAATATCACGTTAAATTTTTCTAAAAATGTTGCCCTCGAGAGTGCAAAATAACAATAGGGAATAGGGGATGAAAATTTATATGTGAGGTTTATGTGAATGTTTTGTGAGTTTAATATGTTTTATCGTTATGTACTATTACTACTAAGCCTAAATAATTAGAATGTTACCCAAAGATAAAATTTCACGCGGACGAAGTCGTGGGCACATCTAGTACTTAATAAAATCAATGTAAACTTTTATTTAAATGACCAATAAAAAGTTGATATATCAATAAGATGTTCAATATTTAAAAACAAGACTAACTTTAATTTCAATTATTTTTAAAATTTAAATAAATATTTATAACCAGTAATATAAATAAATGAGTAACGTTTAGTTTATGTTGTAGACGCATATCCGATCGCGCTGAGCGGCATGGCCGCGCCGATGCTCGACATGCATGCTTATGAAGAGTCTGATATATTAGCCATTGACGATTACGGTGAGCTTGGTGAATATCATTTATTTTATATTAATTATTTCAAAAATATATCATTGGCGACAGCATGTTTAATTATGTTTTTATTTTTTGTGAAACCATTGCACGAAATGCAGGTTGCGGAAACAAGCTACTAGCATTGAAAGAAAGGAAGCCACGGGTAATTTTGTTTTTTTATGCCGTTTTACCACATTTTCACACTGCCGCTTATGGTACTATATAATGCAATATTTTAAGTACCTACAGTCATCGCTAAGGGTTGTGTCATTACCTCGTATTTATATTTACTATCGTTGGATCTCATTGTTATAATTACAATATTGTACATCAATCTGATGGACTGCAAAGCTTGCTTGATTTAGCGTCATCGCGGTTCCATCATAAAACATTATTAATTAGTGTACTCAAAATAATAACTAAACGAAACTTAATTTTTTACAAATTAATTATAAATCTAATGAGTATTAAAATCGAGAATGAATAGAAGAAGAAAAACCTAACCATTTGGCTTAAATAATAACGAAAACTATATTATTTTAGGTGTCCTCAGAGGAGACGTTTCCCGTATAGAGGATTTTGACTATCACTCATTGATTACTGGAGGCAACGGTTAGTTTTAAATAGAGCCCGACACACATTCAGTTTTAACTGACAAGTCCAAGTGTAGAGTTAAAACTGAAAACTGTACAGTTTAACTGACATTTAATATTTTACCTATAAACGTAAGTTCCAACTGTGCTGTTAAATTGCGCGGTCAAAACTGAAGGTCTGTTACAGGTTTATATTATTTGATTTATCTCTGTATAAAACATATCGTCATCTCTGTCATTATCTTTGACAAAACAGAGATGACAATATGTTTTAAACGCTAATTTTGGAGTTAGGACCACGCTTAGGTTAGTTATTTGACAAAAATCTTATTAATTGACATTTAAAAACGTAGTTTTTTGTCCATTCAGTTCTTTATATATTTTTATTAAATCGCTACAATTTGGTATAGTCAGTGCAATAGTCAATCAATTATCTTAACATTTGATTACATAGTTTTAAATTGTTACCAAGTCAAAGCAAGTGCAGTTTAACCATATCAACTACATATCAAACGTATCAACGTCAAAGTCGTATTTGATTTATTCTCCCTCAGCTAATTCTATGTGAAAATGATATGGCAGATTGTTTTGCTAGGCAATCCTCTTTACAGTCATCTTGACACGTCAGACGGCCAGGTTCCATCCACACCACCTGGATGGCTGGCGTTCTCTCGCGCAATTTCTTGCCTCGCACAGTCGCATTGTGGAACGGTCTGTCCTCGGCGGTATTTCCAAACCAATACGACTTAGGGACCTTCAAGAAGCGAGCATACCATTTCCTTAAAGGCCGGTAGGCATCTGCAGTTCCTCTGGTGTTGCAGATGTCCATGGGTGTCGTTGATCACCTCGGTGTTCCCGCCGCTCGTTTGCCCCCTTCTCTTATAAAAAAAAACTCCTTTATTGATTAAGATCTTTTTTTAGGTCTATCCCTTCCGATATATTCTTAATTAATGCCATGCTTTTTACATACCTACACATATTATAATTTGTTACAATTTAATAATTTTTAAAATAATTGAAAGTAATTTTTCGTACTTCACGTAAGTTTCGGCCTAGATATTTGTTTTTTTTTAATCAGGAGTAACTTTTACAATAAAATATATTTTCACAGGATTCCCCTTTTACTCATCGGGACGCAATTTTATTCCGGGTAAGACAAATTAATATGTATAATACGCGATCAACTTCTAAATAGAGAAGTTTTAAAATACCACATCGATTAATAAACTGAATGTTTCTATTTGATAATTTCTATTGTTTTCCTCGCACAGGTATTCACGTCAAGAGGATTTCGCCAAAAATTCGGGGCTGTAAGACTCTATTAGTGTATTACTCTTGCAGCAATGCAGTCATTTCATGCTTACTTAAGTAGTAACTTAAATTTACAGATTTCTCATAATAAATAGACTAAGCTGTTCTTTTATCGTTGTAATTTATAACTAATATTACGACAAAATATGTAATAATGAAAAAAACAACACGAATTTTAGTGAAACTGCTAAATACAGGTATAAGAATGTACCGGTGGTAGGTTTCTTACGTGTTTCAAAGATTAAATGCTGTCGCCAATGATATTTAACTATATATTTTTTCAATATTAACACTTAATTTAGTGTTTTCACACTTTATTCCAAAAATCTCCATTTAAAACATATTTTTATCTCTGTTTTGTCAAAGATAATGACAAGGATGACTATATGTTTTATACAGAGATTTTAATCTCAAAAACCAACGGTTAATCATGTTAATTTGAAACAGACGTGGTCACGACGCCGGTACCACCGCCATCGTCCACCACTTCCAGTCCGTTAGAGTCGTATCACTTGGAAGACTTCGCCTGGCTCGCTCCTCTGTTGAACACAACCACAGATAGTATCACTTTGAATCAAAACGGAACGCAAGTGATCTTAAAAATTACAAAAGATATTAACGTAAGTACAAATTCCATTTTCCTATGTTAACTATGATATTTTAATTCAAACTTACACAAAGATTTTTTCTATATTTTTCAACGATTTATTTATTACTAAACCATATCAGCGACATGATGACTTTAAATTAAATATATCCACATAAATTTTGTTTCTACATCTTACGTTTAAAGTTTTTAGACATCAATTTTCGATTGAAGACTAACCATAAATAATTTTAAATCAAGGACAAGTAAACTGTTCTCATAAGATAGTTATCTTATTGAATATTCTTGATATTTGTGTCAGGCACCTAAAGCGGCGTCGGGTGACACGGAGTGCCCGACCGCGACGGACGCTTCCGCGGGCCGATGTGTGTACTTGTCGCGGTGCCCGAAGGCTCGAGACGTCACTCTACACCTCTACACCAGCATTTACTGCGTCGTCGGTGATGGGTAAGCTAAATTAATTTACTTAACGACTCCTTAAATTGAAATTTACAATACTAAATACTACTCAAAAAAACGTTAATGAAACCGTTGCGTATTTTATTTAATTTGCAGGTATGCTGGTGTTTGTTGTCCGACGAGCGAAGTAAAAGAGATACAGTAAAGCGACCTGCCTTCAATTTTAGTATTAATCCTTTAATTTTCCTAATATCCTAAATTCCTAATATCTTTGTGTTATATTGCTTAAAGGGGCTGATCCATGTTTAATATCGGAGGAGGGGGATGTTGATCAATCGATTTTAGCAAGTTAAAAATTTGATAAATTTAGAAAGAGCTTTATTCTTATATCCTTACTCTGTCCTACAACTCTGGATCCCCTGATAACTGTATAAGAATTGTGTATAGTCTGATATTATACAAGCACTTAAAAAAAAATCCAAAGTTTAAAAATTTAATGTATTCATATGTTGTTAAATGATGTATGTCCGTTTTAAAATTGTGAAGATAACAAAGTATGCAGCCATTTTAAAATGAACTCGACAAGATAAATTGTGGCAGCAAATTAAATATGTTTTTTTAAGTTTTTAAAAATGTTTTATTTTCCTAAAACTATTGCAATAAAAAAGATAACATTACCAAATGACATATACTTTTAACCTTACGTTTTATCTTTAAAATAATATCTGTCTGGGCCCAAAAATAACATGAGAATAATTATTAAAAAAAACGATTTAATCATGCAAGCAACACGATTAAATCGATTTTTACGATGCATGCATCTCATCGGACTAAGTACAACCCTGGTACTAAATGTCAAAGTCAAAATGTGAAATCAATTTGTCAATAGAGAAAAACAGGACCAGAAACTACCTTTTTAAGAGATATTTTGTTATTTTAAAGTGATTGCTGGAAGATCCTGAAAGGTATGGTTAATTTAGCTGATGCTTTTATGATTAATACGGTGACGGAAGGAGCTATGAATGTTTTACGCCAAATCGTAAGTTACAAATTTAAATATGTAGCATGAATTAACAAAAAATATTATTAGTCATTGTAGATAGCGATAAACAAGAATATATCTTTTGTCAGAGACTGTGCGAACTTGTGTTAATACGATATTATTTTCAGGGTGTTTTTAAATCGAAGACAGATACTTTGCAATCAGTACCAATTATTATAAAAATGCCTCTTTGGGAGTTAGCTCAAGCGGCAGGGCCGTTTGTCAGGCTCGCAGGGCTGAGTGGTGCTATGGCTGTAGTACTCGGCGCTATGGGCGCACATCGTACATTTCCCGCAACCGAAGGCAAAGAAGATTTACGAAAGATCTTTGAGACGGCTAATAGATTTCATTTTCTGCATACTTTAGCTTTGATGACTGTGCCTCTTTGCCGCAAACCATACATTGTAAGTATTAACACAAAATGAACATAACACATTTATTTCAGAAAGTTTCAAATTCAAGCTTTTTAGTCAAAACCAACACATTGGTATGATTTTGCATAGTTTACTAAGAAGCCATGAACTACTACTTTGTGTCAACTATGTTGAAATACTATGATAATTTATGTAATAACTAGCGGTTGCCCATGACTCCGTCTGTGTGGCGTTAAAAAAAACATAATTGATGCCTAAATGTATGCCAAATTTCATCAAGATCTGCTCCGCCATTCTTCAGATACCATCTATCCATCATTTACATTTTTAAATTAGTAAGATTAATACAAGTCTTGGCAGTATTTGTAATATTATCAATTACTTAAAAAGAGGTCATTATAAGAATCACCTGGTAACAACTAAGATCTCTGAAGCAGTAGTAGACTTTACTGCTAATTTTAATGTATTCAAACATTTTCAGGCTGGTGGATTTTTTATAGCAGGAATGGGATTGTTCTGTGGCACATGTTACTACCATTGCTTCACTGGTAACCCCAGCTTCAGAAAACTCACTCCAATTGGTGGATCTTGTCTCATCTTAGGGTGGTTGGCAATGGTCATATGAATCCCTCTTTTTAATCAATAATATTTTATTGGTGTATGGTTTAGAGATTATAAGTAGTGATGATTCCAGTGATTTTTATTATTTGAACTTATTAGTATCTAAGGCAGTGTTATTTAAACTGTAGGTTCATTATTTTATTTTACCCCTAAATATTAAATGATCCTGTAAATATTATACTTGTGTTTTATTGGATAGCCCTAAATAATTTCCTAATATAAGCTGTATTTGACTAATGTGAATATGTTGAGCCATTAACTCGCATAAAGTAACTGAAAACGTCACTTTAATATGAAAACATCAAATTGGCATGTTGATCTGAGTTAGTATTTAGCAAATCTATTGTTGAATGTTTGCTTTTGAGTAGGTCCCCACAAGGATCTTATTGCAGTATTTTGATATTAACAGGGCACCTTGATCCTTGAGGAATTTACATTTATGAGTTGGCATCTGTCACTAAGGCAGGTATGTATGTAAAATGTTGGTAAAATGAAAACTAAGCAGTAATTACACAAATGACTTAAAATGTAACCTTTAACTTTATTACAAACCTTTTATCTCATTCAGTGTTTCGGCAGGCACTTTGCTTAACAGTAACAGAACAGAAAATTACATGAACGCAATTAGGAAATAGGGTGAAGAAAACACGTCATTGATCAGTATTGTTTATAGGTTTTATTGAAATGTTACATATTAAATTTTGCACTTTAATGTTAATCAATTATCATTCTTAGAGATTAATCAAAACATATATACCGTTTGACATTAAATGCTATATCATAACTCGAAGGGACTCTCAAAGAAGATTTTAATGGTCCATCAAACGTGACTTATGTAGTAAGGTATTTTATATAACATGGTGATGATTACAAGTGATGCGCGCACGCCGCACCGCGTCGCGCCGCGCACCGCACACCCTATTCTTACATATTCAGAACCAATCTCTAACATATTCATAAAGAAATATACAAAACTATCACATTAAATTAACACAAAATATAGTTATAAACATATTTATGTAATCTAAAAGTAAAACGAAAAGGGAACAAAACGTAAATAACACAGCACTTTAAGGTGTCTGTCACACAGTGGGGAAATAAATCACTCTGATTGCACATAAGAGGGTAGGTGTCCGGGGATGTGGCCGCAGCATTACAACAACTATCAATATCACTAACCGCATTTACACACACTAGTACCATACACAGAGAGAGAGAGTGTTCACGAAAGGTGGAAGGAGTGCTGGCCCTCGGAGGCGGCAAGGCGCAGCTTGGCGCGCATCACCTCCGCGCTGCTGTAGTCCGGCAGTTTGAGGTAGTTGACGCACGTCATCACCGACGGCAGGTACTCGTCTGGGTCCAGAGATGACTCCAGCGACTTGCGTACCACCGTCAAAGGGGGGTTCAGCGCTTTAAATCCTGATAACATTCATTTGTTAGCAAAAATAAATAACATAATCGATTAATGCAAACTTGTCGCAGTAGCTGAAGATAAAACCGTAATTAAAATAATAATCGTAGAGTTGTACAACTCAAAACACTATTGAGAGCATGAGGACAGTTATCAAACGTTACCTCCAGTGGGCAGACGGGGGCTGCCGGTGACGAACTGCAGGAAGAGGCGCTGCTCGTCGCGCGAGTACGAGGCGAGGATGTCGACCAGCATGCGGATGGCGCGTGATTCTGCCGTGTAGCCGTGGTCGGGCCGGATGCACTCCGCCAGCATGCGTGCCTCCCACCGCTGCTCGCGTCCTCCTTTATACACAATATTCTCGTTTTTAACAAACTAATAAAACACAACATACACTTCTCCAACCTTAGTAAATGTAGCGTAGCCAACTTTAAGTGACGGAAGGTTCGTACCTGATGGGCTTCCACAAAATACTTGTTCCAACTCTTCAGGGTAGAATATCTTGAGATTTGCCAATGGGAATACTGATTCAAATCCTTCTTTAAACGCCTCCATCTGTTTCGCCACTCCTAAAACCAAACATTTTTATCACCCATTAGTTGAGTAATATATTTGTAATAACATAGATACGACTGTGGCCATAATCTATATTTGGTTAACATGGTGTTGACGGACCTTCATAGAGCAGCCAGTGCGTGACGAGGCCGATGTAGTTGTGCAGGTTGTGCGCGGTGACGGGCAGGTCGCGCCCACCGCGCCGCAGTTCCGTGCACCCGTCGCCCGGCAGAATGAAGTCCAGACCCAGCTCCTCGATCGGGCAACCGTCCAGCTCCAGTGCATTGATCTGAAAAGTTTTAAATAATGTTAAATATACCACACGCAAGGTACTAAATATTATATGGGACTTGTTTATTCTAGCTCTTCCTTTAAAATGCTTCGCTTAAATGAGCCGCTTGTTTATGATATTTGTGCATGTCTCACGAGATGCGCGCGCTGGTCTTGTGTGTGCCGAGAGTCAGCGGCGATAGCCTGGGCGCGCTCGGCGACGCGCCGCAGCCGACACAGCGAGCGCCACAGCTCGGGTGCAACGTGTCGCACGTCGCTCAGCCCCAGCCACCGCTGCTCGCTCACCAGCCACCGGTACATCGACACTGACAGCGGGATGTCCACCTACAACATCATTATACAAATTAACCATAGTCAACACACAGATATGTTAAATTATGTACACTTCACTGCATCTAGGATATTGTTGCTGCACTGTTTTGAAGATTCTTTAAATATGTCTAAACCTACAAGTATTCTGAACTCACCATTCTAGAATCCATAACAGCTTTAGCCATGAACTTTCCTAGAAAACGGAATTTAGCCTTGACCCGAGAGAGATGTGAGGCCCTGGCGTTGCGGCCGATGGCTTGTGGGAAAAGTCCACAAGGCCAGTTGACGTAGGTAGCGTCGGGCGCAGGCGAGGGGATGGAGGTCTCCTTTTCGAGGTCAGAGGGCTGCGGCGAGCGATCCTCGTCTAGGCTGAGCGCGTCACGCACAGAGGAGGCGAGCCTCGTCGCCGCGTCTGACGACCGGTCCGTCACAACGGGCGGTTGGCTCTTTACTATTTCGCCACCGAACGATGTCGGCTTCTGCTTGAAGTTCTCACTTCCGTGCCACAAATCGAGATCGGCGCGTTGCAATTCCTACAATTTTGAACATTATTCATTAACATATCGTTATTACTAGTATAAAGTACTTGATTAGAATTTAAAATGTATACAACCTGTGAGACGAGTGCGTAGAACTCGAGCGTGGGCCCGAGTCCGGTGCCGACCTCGTTCTCGTACTGTATCTCGAGAAGGGCCTTGGTGTGCGCAAACTCGTGCATCACGTGCTCGGCCTGGCGCAGCACGCTGTGCCTCTGCACGGTGCGCTTGCGCCGGTCGAGACGCGGTGCTACGCGCTCGTCCGCCGCCGCAGCGCCGCGCTCTCCGCCCGCCTCCAGCAGCCGCTGTAGCGCGCGGTCGCGGTCAAACGACACCACGTAGAACAGCAAGTGACGGCACTCGAATGGCAGCACGAATGGACTGGAAAACATTCACATGTTTTAAATACGGAAAATGGCAAAGATGTACCGAACAAAAATGTAAAATTGAGATTACTTTGCTTTATCAATTTGCTATTTGAGACTTACCAAGCATAAGCAATTTTCTTTAACCAAGGTGGCAAATTTCCGGTCATAATTACTAATGGATCTTGAAGCTGTCGATTTGCTTTTGCAGCAAGCTGAAAGGAAAAGTCGGAGTAAAGAATCTGCTCATGTAAAATTCTACTATCACAGTAAAATCATATGCGACATACGACAGATTGCGAAGCTTTTGTTTGGATTATTAATCCAACATCAATGTTCAGTAGCTGAGTTCAATAACAAGAAGAAACACCTATAAAGCCAGATTGACACTAGGGCTAGCTCAAAGAATGATTAATACATCTAAAAACATCGGGTAGCTGTAGTCTAGAAATGACATACTTTGGGATTGATGAAGTCCGAGTTGGGCACTAGTGGGCGGTGGTCGGGCAGGCAGGCGGCGCGGTACAGCGTATGCCAGTGACGCGCCAGGGCGTGCAGCGCGCGCAGCAGGCCCAGCGCCGGTAGCGACGCGTCCTTCACCTCACCCCCGCTCACCAGCGGCGACCGCAGGATCACGAACAGAGGCGATTCGCGCGCAGGCACTATGCCCTCTGATAAATTATACAACGAATTGTTTATAATTTCAATTTTAAATGAAATAATACGTCAGCTAATGTTAAAGTCATGAAATATTACCGTTCCAGAGCAGATCGGGCTTGCGTCGTGATGAGATCTTGGTGGTGTGTCCCTTGCCTTTGCGAGAGGCGGCGGCGTCAGTACGCGGAGCCTCGCCCGCCTCCACTGCGCGGTAGTATATCGTGTGTGTTTGCACCCAGATGCCAGCATTTGCTGTAGGTAACAAATCGTATTAAAAGGTGCCCAATTAATCTAAGAAACAAAGTTTAAAGATCTGTTGGCGTCAAGTGCATACCGATAGGCGTTTCAGTGTCAGTGTCAGCGTCTGTGTGGTCGCCGAACTGTCGCACCGCCTGGTACACCGTCATGTTGTACGGCAGCACCGTGTCGCCGATAAGGAATTCCAATTTGTGTTCAGAACTGCAGATAAAACATATCAATATAAAATACTTTTCTTATGTATAATTTTAGGAAATCATCAACGAAAATACTGCTAAATTAGTAGAATATTAAAGACTTTTATTATTAAGAATGAGATGATTTAATGTTTCGATTAGTTGGACTCGCGCACGATTTGGTATTTATGTTGTATTTGTAACATAGTGTCATACTCAGTGGGTTGGTGGTGCGGCGGCGTGCCGAGCGAGTCCTCGACGTCGTCGTCGGAGGCTGCCTCGTCGTCAGAGTGCGCGGCCGCCGCGGTGCCGTCGCGTGGCCGCGTGCTGGCGTATCCGCGCTGCGCCAGATAACTGCAACACATATAACATTTTATAAACTGTATTCTACGCTATGTTACTTATAAATTTTTACACGCAATAATTTGTTAATGTTGAAATTTTTACGTGTTTACGGGTAACTAATTTTTTTTTCTTAACTTGTATTTGTTTATGTCAACTGTTGACATCATGGGCAGATCTTTGGTTCTATAGATAAATTTGATAAGTTTTAAATGAAAGGGGGCAACACTCACCGTTCAATGGCTTGTACTAAAGCTAATGGGTCTATCCGTACCACACCACCCTTCCATTGTTTCAGGTTGGTGCAATTTGGATGACGTTTGAGATCACACTGGAACAACACACATCATGTTAATAAAAAATCAGGCAAATTAGTTTTGAATATCAGTAAAGTTATATAATGTTATCTTAAATTATCTGAGGTCTTTGAATGATGTACAGTAATGGACACTAACCATGAGTTGATGGGTGTTGAAGAACCGCAGGGCGGAGGTGGCGGGGCGTGCGGGCAGGTCGTGCACACGCACTGGGAACTGCTCGAGGTGCGACACGCACGCATTCACCTTGCCCACCAGCGCCGCCAGTGCGCCCGCCCCGCCCCCACCGCTTGCCACGCCAACTTCTGACACTTGCTCCATCCAATCCCGGTCGCTGTAACACCACCAAACACAAGTTCATGCATTTGACATTACTCTAGCCTTAGCGACACTGAATCATTTCTTGCAAAAACATTCAAGTGGCACCAGGGGGCTCTAATAAGCTTTTGCAATAATTAAGTCAATTAAGTTGGTTGGACTGTATACTTATAATGTAACTTACTCGGGCACGAGCGGCATGTCGGCGAAGACGTGCAGAAAGAGTCGGAGGCGTTCCTCGCAGTCGGCTATCTCCTGCGCGGCGTCACGCGCCTCCGTCTCCGCGTCGCGCTCCCCGCCCTCCGCCTGCCCCTCGGCCTCGCTGCCCGTCAGGTATTGCAGCAGCGCGCCAAGCACTCCCGAATGATTCACCTATAAAAATACATTTCATTTAATTACTTGCATTACATTTGTTACATTATGTAGTTTGCAATCAGAACGTTTATACTTCGTAACGTAATATAACTAGTTTAAGCAATACTCAATAATACGTCGCGATATATGTGTATGTTCTTATGGTAAGTTCACACATTGTCCTAACAGTTATTTTAAGGGGATTGAAAGGGATGGGCAGTGCGTGATTGGAACATTTGTTCGGTAACGTTCATGCAACAGAAGTATTGTTGATAATTTATTGAATTGCAATGGATTGTACCTCGAATGGCGAGACGTCGTGATGCAGCAGCGTGTCGCGCAGCTGGTGCAGCGCAGCGCGACGCTGATGCGCGTGGGGCAGAGCGCCTGCCAATGCGGCCAACTGCTCCAGCGCACCCGCGCCACCATCCAGCGCGCCCCACTCGCGTTGCAGGCGACCCGCTTTCCATACTATCCATTCGCGAACCTTCTCTCTGAAACACCCGCATATATTAATACTTAGAGTACCAACCACTATGTAGAAAGTCCTGTCACCATTTAGATCATATATAGATATAATAAGTAATTGTCGCGCGATCATTAGACGTTTACAATATTGTACCTTAAACATAAATAATAAGTAGGATACATCATACTTGTTTTGTACGGTGAGGTTAGTGGAGGCGTGCGGCGAGGCGAGCAAGGCGGTGTCGCGGTGCGCGTGCGGCGTGCGACCCCAGCGCGATGGGTTCAGAGAGGACAGGAACGATGATGTGCGCGACGCTCCGCCCACACGCGACGTCGACCGTGACGCAGACGGTATCGCGGACGCTGCTAAACATTCAATAATATCATAACTTATTTGTAAGATAAAGATTTTGTTCCCAAACTGAATTTCTCGCGTTAGCGAATAAATAATAGTAAACAACAAAGTTCTACAATCTTTATACTTATTACTAATTATAAATGTGATCACTGACCATGCGCTTGGTGTGGTTGATGCGCGTGCGCATGTGGGGGCGCACGGGCAGCGGGTGCAGCGGGGGCAGCGGGCGGCTGGTGCGGTGGAGTCAAATCTTCACGGCGTCGTGGGCCACGCGCCGGCGCACCTCCAGACCGCCGTACTGCGCGCTTCCGCCTTAACATTTCTGCCAACTGCAGCGGGCTGCCAGATCTGCATTGTTAAAATTAAAAAAAATGAAGGTAACCAATGAATATCAGCAGACAGGCTGTTTAATCGTCCAAAAATGAGGTGAGAAAGGAACTTGTTAATAATTTAATAAGTTCAAAGACCTAAATCAGAATAAACATGAAGTACATGTACCTATGTACTGTGGGTGAAGTATGTGGATACGTCGACGCTGATGTAGTAGGTCCAGGTTCCGAGCTCTCATTGCCTGTAGCTGAAAAAACCAAAATGTTTATATTTTAATTGACGTCATAATTATGTATGTATATGTTTAAAATGTATGAAACTCACGTAAGGAACTGGTGACGAATGAACCCGAGGCGGAGAAGGCCAGGGACAAGTTGTGTTCAATGGCTGTGAGCGAGGTGGAGGCAGGCGGGGACGCGCCGCCACCGGACCGGGCGCTCGTGCCGCTCGGAGACTTCGCACAATAACAATATGTTTACACACTTTACACTAAGACATAGTCTAAGATGACGCTTTTATTGTTCCTTTAAATATATCGTTTACAGTTTGCCAAAATATGAAAAAATAAGCTCAAAAATTTGAATTGGCAGCTGATAATTACTTTTTATTTAATATTATTAATGGAATGGACAGAAACATATATATGTTGTTAACCTTTATCTTGTGATGCCTCGGCGTGTGCGCTTGCGGCGCTGGTTGCGTCGGCTGTGCAGGGTGTGAGGGTTGTGCGAGCTGCGACACCTGGTGCAGCACGCCCTCGCGGCGGAACTGCGCCCCCATCTCCTCCGGCAGTCGCTGCATCAGGATCTCGCCCAGCTGCAGCGAGCCCACCACAATGCGCAGGTCGCTCGATGCCATCATGCCGGCGATGTGAGACGATATCACCTATGATTCACAAACTTTTTGAAATACAAAGTAACAATGCTTCGTGCGAATAATCCTATATCATCATATAGCGCTCTAAATGTCTATTGTCTCATAATTCGTTCATAATATGAAATGAAATATTTTACAAATTAGTGACCTGCATCTTGAGCACTTGTCGCAGTAGCGGTGCATCGGCGTAATAGACGCAACGAAGGATGGCTTTAAGCGCCTGCGAGCGCACGGCGGGTCCAGCGGAGCTCCAGTATACCTCATGCAGCACCGCCAGCAGGGCTCGTACCAGCGACGGGTTGCAGCGCACCATCGCTATGCGCGGGTCTGATGCATAAATACATTGCCACTAAAGGTACATGCACTGTTAATTAAGCAGACTTTTAGTGTCGCTTTCTCATAATTGTCTAGTAATCACTTACTTGGTCTCCAATTTTAAACTGAGTCTGGTCCGTTAGTTATTCATTTTACTTAATTAATATTTTCGATTAGAATGGCGTATGTATTCACCTGGGGCGGCTGCGGCTGCGGCGGCGTCTGTGGCAGGCGGTGCGGGTGCGACGCGCTGCACGGGGCGCGCGGTGCCGGTGTGGTCGTTGAGCTGCTGCATGGCGGTGAGGTCGACGGTGTAGGAGCGGCCGAGCGTAGTGAGGCACACCTCCTCCTCGCCGCCCGACACGCCCGCCTCCAGCGCTCGGCTCTCTGCCCACGAGTACGACCGCCAAACGCCTGATCAATCGCCAATTCCGGTAATACTCTAATTATACTTAATATATTCTCCTTTGTTGGAATATGTTATCTAAACCGGCCCAATCCAAACACAATATGTGGTATACGGTGGTTACCTCTATCATCACGCCACTGCCAATGCGCGGTGCGGTCGACACCGCCCGACCAGGGGCGGTCGAGGTGGGCGTCGACGGCAAAGATGCCGTCGGTGGGTAGACGTGGCATCAGTTCGCCGATCAGACACGTGATCTCGTACAACTCCTGCGGCAGTCGCGGCACCAACTCCACTTGCTGACAAAACAAAAATAAGGTGAGGTGAGGCGACGAGAAGCGCAAAACATTCCAGGGAGTATGTATCGTTGGAGTTATGGATTTTAATAATAAATGTAAAAGTAACAATTGTGTACCTCGTGGTGCGCCGCGGAGCCGGTGAGCAGACAAAGCAGGGTGTCTGCGATGGAGCGCTGGTGCAGTGCGAGCGCCAGCTGCGGGCAGGCGGCGCACATCACCCATAACAGCCGCAGTACCGTAATGAACGTGCTGCCTGAGATCAGCGCTGGCTGCACCACCAGCTGAAACATCAACCACATATTATATTATACTCTGAATATAAATGTTACTTCCGCAAACAGAGTCCTTCAATTCTTATTAGGGGAGTGTTTTAGTAGGTTTAGTGTAAAAATATGCACTAAAGTAACTAATAAAAGATTAACTATGACGGTAAAAAATTAACTTACCAGTTGCTGCAAGTTCGTAAGGAGTTCTGGAGTGGCGATCTCTTGAAGTCTGGCCGGATCATTTTGGAAGCTGTCCACAAGTCGAGAGAATGCCATGCAAACACACTCAACTGATTTCTTGTCTTGTTGTGTCAACCTGAAATTACAATAATTTATTATCTTTCAGAGAAAAAAATATATGACATAAATACCTAATTTATTTTTTCACTTTGTTGATGGATAACAATTAAGTTGGCATGTCACACAGAAGACCTCTCTTATTAACGTCGTGCCATATTAATATACCTGTTGGCTAGTAATTGTAGAGAGTCCCTGACGAGATGGAATTCGTCCGGAGTGAGATTCTGACAGCAGTTTGCGGTGATGGAGAGCGCCGCGCGCTGCGCATTGATAGAGAAGAAGTCGAGATAGGTGAGGCACGCTGATACTCCACGCTGCATACAAATAACATCATAAGTATATAAAAATACATTTTAAAAAAGGACAATATGTTGCTTATAAGATCCATGCCATGGTATAAACCTCATATCAACATTTTTCAGCGTTAACTGTAATTTTACTTTACTTAAACATTTTCATTCTGTTTGAAAAAACAGAGATAAAAACATTTTTGTACAAGTTTTACAAACAAAAAGAAGTATGACTTACCGCCTGTAAGATGGCTTTAGAGTGTCTCCTGGAGAGCATGTCTAGCGCGGTGAGGCTCTGCTCGGCGACGTCCATGCAGGTGATGGCCTGCAGCTTGTCGAGGAAGGCGGGCACCGCCAGCGCCACCGCCACGCTGCTGCGCGGTAGCGCCTCCAGCATGTACGTCAAAGCGCGGCATGCGTGGTTCATCTGACATATTCGTATAGAATAAATTAACAACAAATAAGTGAATAAATACTAGCTGTTACCCGCGACTTCATCCGCACGGAATTTAAAAAAAAATAGTAAATAGCAAATATGTTCGTCCAGGACAAGTTCCTGTGTAAAATTTCTCCGAGATCAGTTAAGCTGTTTTGGAGATACATAGTTCCAAATATCCATCCATCCAAATTATCATGTATATTATTAGTATGAAGTTAGATATAGAACTAGACGGTACCATATCAAAGTTGTGTTCAGCGGCCAGGAGGTTAACCAGCGCTGGCACGACCTGCCGCACGGGAAAACCGGCGAGTGTGTCTTCGTTGCCCATGACGAGCAGCTGGCACATCTCGATGACGGCCTGCAGCTGCTGGCCCTCGTCACCGGTCGCCTGCAGACCCGCCAGAAGCTGCGCCGCTTTCGATGCAGCTGTAAATAACAAAGACCTAAGTTTTAGCTACCATTAATTAACAAATTTACAAATATGACTATTATTGTATAAAATGCATGTATCATTAGACAATTTGCCTCACTGCTTTTGTTAACTAATGTACCAACTAACCGGAGTTGGCTGTAACGGTGCGGTGCAGCAGATGTTGCATGCGCGGGCCGAGGGCGCCGAGCAGATGAGGAGGTAGACCCCGGGCCTCTAGCAGTGCCTGCAGACGCCCCACCTCGCCCTCCTCCGAGGAGGACTCCTCGCCGCCGCCCGAAGCCACGGCGCCGCCTGCGTTCGCGCTCCCAACGCCGCCCGCACCGCCGCTGTTGCACTCCTCGCCTGATGACGACGCCGCTACACAACACACAATAATTGCTTTAACTTTAATATTATATGTAGTCGTGTGAGGTTTTTATTGTTTAAGCCTACAACAAAATTCGACAGAGTACAAATTTTAATATTAGTAAAAAGTGTTTACCCTTTTGCTTAGCATCATTAGATGCGTTGTCAGGCATCGCAACGGCCGAAGTGGACACCGGCGGTGAAGAAGAAGTAGACGCCACGGCACCCTGCGTAAATAGAGTTTTAATTTAGTTTGTATATGTATATAGAGGCTATATTGATTAGTTTTTTCATATATTTACCGTGGTTAATGGCTGGGGGTGAGACCGGCTGGACGCACCTCCTGCGCTGGCACAAGAACCCAGACTGGTTTTGCCTGTAAATCAGATAAACAGTTTAAATTTACATATTTTAGATATGACATCATCACAATACTGGTGTTGAAAGCAACATCAAATTGGTTTTAATGTATTCGTGTGAGTTGATTGTTACCTCGTTTGTCTCGTCGCGTGGATGCCGGTTGCGGCTGCGGCATGTCGCGCGCCCGCGCCCGCCGCCCGCCTGACGCACTGCTGCCCGCCTCCTCGGTGCCCGACACCTGCACGCGACACATATCACATATATTTACTTTGCAATACGAACACTGATGTTATACCGAAGGCTCAAAGCCATGCTAACCTAATAAACCGACAAGGATATTAGTTGTTCCAAAAACAATATCAATCAAATATAATATGAAATGGTAATACAAAATTAACCATTTAAAATGACGTATAACTATGATTTATAGACACTTAACGATATGACATTTCACAAGAATCAGTAATTTAATATAAAAAATATAGCAAATAAAAACATATTTTGATAACAAAATGTGTACCTGTCTTTTAGAAGCAGCTTCCTGCCTCTGCCGCTGCGAATTGCCAGCCCCCCTCGTCAAGCAAGCACCCAGGTTCGCACCCGTCGCAGCAGCGATACTCTGCACCATAATTATTCTATCTTAGACACACGAAACATATAGAATTTATCACTGAATTGTTATAATTGTACTTACCCTACGAGCGTTAGTTTGACGTAAGTATGGGAGGTCACGAGGGACAATAAGTAGCTTACTCTCACTTGCAGGCGCTTTTGATGAACTGGCCTCTGCAATGCATACCAATTGATTAACAAATGATCATTTAAGTTAATTACTGCCTAATGACTTCAATACGTATATTAACTAATTATTTACCTTGTAAATCCTTATAAGGCGGTGGAGTAACAGTTCTTCCACGAAAATCTATGTTCTTCCGTTCGATTACCGTCTGATTGTGAGCCGCTTCGTTTGTAGAAGTGCTCGCTGTAAAAGCATATGTGTTACACTAAATACGTTTTTAATAAACACAAATTATCAGTTATGAATGCACGCGATTGATGGACACGATAAAGGTTTTGATAAGCTCTGCGGCGAGACTGATGTTTTGTATAATATCATTTAACATATTGCATTTGAAAGCAATTATTATTAAATAACCTGATAAAGTATACCCATTGAAAAAACACAACGATGAAAAACAACATTTTAGGCCAAAACAGTTATTTCCTCGTAACTTAACATACAGAGAAGCGATTTGTATCATTGGTTAGAGGTTTGTAACACTTTACCGATAGTAATTATCATTGTTATTGGTAGATTACCTGAATTATCGCTTATAACTGTGGCGGTGGGCGGGCCGAGGTCGCGATGCCTGTTACGCAGCAGATACGTGCACGAGGAGTGCGAAGCGGCTGCCGACTCTGGTCTCTCCGAATCGTACTCCTGCCGGCAATCAGAAATAGCGTCCTCGCTTGCTTCCTCCACCTCTTTGTATGGATCTATCTTAAACTTCTTCTTGCAGTCTTCGATATCTACTAGACAACTACTTTTCCTCGTCGACAGAGAGCGATGCGTAGATCGCTTCCTCTTTTTGCCCTTCCTGCGGTGCGCTGTGGGACTGTACACGGAATAATCCGAATCGAGGAGCTCTGTTATAGTCGACGAACTGAAAGGAGAATATGCGTAATCTCTTTCGTCCAATGGGAGAAGACCACCTTCGGACGAATTCAATGGACACTCGGGCGCTGATGTCGCTGTAGCGTTATGATTAACGGCTAATCGTGGTAACGTCTGGGGTTTTAAAGTATTCGGTGATGGCTCACAAGCACTCTCGTTCAATTTGAGAGCAGTTCGCGAGCGTGTGCAGTACGCGACGCAATCCTCTGCGACGGCACTGCTTGTCGTAACTGGGCGGCGTTTATGCTTCTTCCGGTCATGCGACGACGAATTCCGGCCGCGCTTTGCGTTAGTGCTGCTCGTGTACTTCCAAGAGTCTCCGCTCCTGTAGTCGGTGTCGTAGCGCGTCTCGTAGAAGTCGGCTCCGTAGGACCAGCGCTCGGATATGGAGTAATCGGACCTGGGCAGTGCGTTGACTAAGCGCGAGCTTCGCCGGAGCTCGACGTGCCTGCGCGGCTCGGCGTCTGTATCGGCGGCGGCGGCACGGCTCGAGTGCCGGTTGGTGTGGCGCGGCAGGGGCGACGTTACGTTGCGTCGGTTGCGGCGGCTGCGGTTCGCTTGACGCACCTGACGCAACCACCGACCGCCCACTACCCTGCTAGGAGAAGACCTGTTCACCAAAAAGTTATAACTATATTTTTACAAATGCTGATAACATTATCAGTGTTGACTTAATTGGGTACAGTAGTTATCTAGTTAACAGACGAACGGCATAATAAGTTATTGTTAGGCCATTGTAAGTAGATAGGCTTATCAGTTCTTATATAGGTCCACAGCTAGCTTAATATTTAGCTGTTCGCTCCTCCCTAGTCTTAATATGATTAAATTATTATAAATTCATTAAGAAATTAATGTACGTTATAGTGTCTTTGTATATAATTATCACAACTTATTCTATCAAAATTGAATAATGATTATAAATATTTAAAAAAAAAACTTAAACATTGTCTAAATTATGACTGAGTCATTTAACATTTCGTAGTTGGTACCACATGTATTTGTTTTAGAAAATTTTACAGCAGGACTAGAAAACTAATTTTCTTGAAAACTGGTCAGCCGAAACAGGCATATTCTGGTTTGTAGTTACAAATCAAAGCATTACTTGAATAACTAATGACCAAACAGTGGTTTTCGGGACGAATTATGTCGTTTTTGCTGTATTGCTCATCTCACGATACCTACAGCCGCGAAATAACAATTTTTTTTACATTTTACCATGTTAGTTACATGGTATTGGACTATCTACGACGATTTGTTTGTTAAATAAAAAATAAACATTTATGCATTTTGTAGGGAAAACAGAATAACTAACAATATTAAATTCTAACATCTACTTATGTAAAATTATGTATTATTATTTTGATGTCCTATTTATAGGTACTTACAACCAAAGTCATGTCAACTATTAGATTGTAACCTCCAAAAACTAGACTTTAGTAGAATCCTCTGTGGTAAATGCCATAAGGAATAAACGACGATTGGTATTTATCATTCGTTATTATGGAATAAACAATGTAGCAATGACATAAAGGAAGCATACTTTTAAGTTATTTGAGCCAAAGAAAGGGCATATAACGTGAACTCTATGCACATTATTTTATAGTTACACCAAACTATTCATTACATAATGTCATATGGACTACATAAACCAATCTAGGTGGCTTGTGCCAAACATTAAGAACAATATATATTTATCCATTAAAAAATTTATATTAATCACTAATTATATAAAAATGTTGTTTGTCAATATGGACATATGAAAAATCTATATATATAAAAGAAAGTCGAGTTAGTAACACTATTTATAACTCAAGAACGGCTTTAAAGATATGGTTGAAAATTAGTGAGGAGGTAGCTTAGAGCCAGGAGACGGACATAGGATACTATTTGTATTTTTTTCGAATTTGTGCCTTGAAGAGCTGCTTTTTATTTAACTTATCTATTTATTAAGTTTTTTTATATATCCAAGCGGATGGAGTTGCATGTGACAGCTAGTCTATTATAGAAATAAACATTATTAAAATCTACTTAGTTTATAAAACATTTATATGCATGTAATTAATTATCATTAGAAATAGCCCTAAAATAACTATACAATGGTTTTATTAAAAGGAAAGAATTCTTCAATTTATATCATAGACTGTAAAAATAAACAATTTAATTATAGTTAATTAATCTCTACATCTCCAAATTGGTTGTGTTTTTCTTAATGTTTCAAACATAAACATAAGGTTTAATTAACATTGTCTAATAATGATTATTTTGTTTGTGTGATTAACACCTTGGTAAACAATACATTTGTTTTGCTATTTTTATTACATGACAGGATGTCAATAAATATATTTACAGGTTTCAGTAACTAAAACTTTGAAAAAAAAAACAAATGAGAACAGAATTAAAAAAGTTTAGTATAAACCAGATTGACAATTTAAATCTGTTAAAATCTGACAGTATCTTTTTATGATAATCACTAAAGGTGTAAAGTTTATTTTGCCAAGAATATATAAACTCAATCAAGTTCATGATTGCAAGCAAATTTTTTTTCTAACATTATAACTAGCTATGGCCTGCAACTCCGTCTGTGCGGTATTAAAAAAACCTAATTAGCAGCCTATGTGTTCTTCTAGACTGTGTTCTACATCTATGCCAAATTACAGCATGATCCATACAGCTGTTCTCGAGTTACCTTCTTACAAACATACATCCAAACATTTGCATTTATAATATTAGTAAGATAAATTTCTCTACAAGTAAAGATCATAATAATAGTTGAATACATTAATTAAATGTGGAAACATTGGCATCTGCAATACCAAGGAACCGCAGATATGTTGCCGGCCTTAAAAATAAGATGATTTGTTAAAAATCTTCAGATTTATGAAGTTGTATTGATGTGAATTATGTGGCCAAAAAACCTAGAAATATTACTAATTAGTTAAAGGGAATCCCCATTGAAAAAAACTAAGATTAATGTATGATTTTGGTAGTAATGTAGTACATGTATATTAAAATAGACACGGAATTAGCACAACTTTGAATATTGTATTTTATAAAATGAATTTGTACAATGAAATGCTAAAACATTGAAATTTGTGTGCAACTATACATAAGGGGACCACAAAATGCCATTTCTTGATCTGGAAGTATTTATATAACAAAGGACAAAGAAGAGACATTGTATTTTAAATTAAACAATACCTGTCTATAAAATGTAATCTTTATGAAGATTTTTTTCTTTATTTCTCAGAATTCTAAGAAATTTTCTTTTAATACAACATCTGAATTTGTGACTACACTCAATGACAATCAGAAAATGAGCAATGACAGTAGTGACTCATACTGCAACAATAATTTTGACTGATCATAAAAAAAAATAAGTAATATTCTTGACTCATCATAATCAATGTACAATACATAAATTGTTAGAATGTGAAAGATTTTTTATCTGTATTGTTTATAGTTCCTATGATAACAAAATCTTCATTATACATTTATTGCAAAACAGTGTTTAATATTTAGATTATCCTGATTTGTTTTAAAATGTTTAGTTTTCATTATTATATTGCATATTATGTATAATAGTATATAAGTAACAATGTAAATGCTATTTATGGTTTTCATATAAGACAAATAGAGACTTAACCCTTATTAGCCTAGAGTTTCAATTTTGATACCAATCTTTTAAACCGAATGTTCACATTACTCTTAGTTTTTTTATAGGTAGGCTGTACCTATTTTACTGTTGTATAATATTCTTTCCAACGAAATTAAAAAAAAAAAACAATTTTCATTATTGTTTTATTTTATAAAAGCAAACACAAAATTATTAAAAATAAATCACTTTCGTATGTAAATCAGCTACTAAGGGTTAAATAATTAAATTAGGTATAAAAGTATTTCTTAGTCGATTATATACTCAAGCAATACATAATCGACTAAGAAAAGTTCAAGTACTACTTTGCACAATACTGTAAAAAGAAGTCTGTAATGCCAACAAAAACTTATTACTCATGATGTTATAACATAACATTCAATTTTAATCAGAACTGTTGTTCCAATAAGCAAGGTGTTATCCGGCATGAAATGACGGAGAATAAACAAAGAAGTTTCTGCACGAAAGGTACCTATGATTTACAAACATCAGTTGTAGTTATAATAGATTCAGCTGTGGAAAGTTCACAAGCGTAAGACGTCTATTCAATGTTTTGATGGTAAAAAGGTGATTTAACAGTGAACTAAGACTATTTTAGATAGATTGGTCTTACCCGTTGGACTCTCTCGTGAGTGCAGAGTGCGACGACGGTGTAATGTGTTGCTCGGCCATAGACGACGCTGGGAAACACACGCGGCTGCTTGTGTGGGGCCTGCGCAGGCCGCCCGCGCCCGCTACCTGTCCGGCACCATGCCCGGGCGTCCCCTATACCGCTGCCTCTGCATCCACCGCACCACGTAAATTCCTCCTTCTCACTAACACATCACCACAAAACGCACCTAATCGATTAACGTCACACTCGTTGCACACAAGATTTGCGTTCGTTATACAGCAACGCACCGCACCTACTGATATTCACTGCGCAGCTATCTGGAACAAAGATGAAATATACAGTCAGCAATGTGAACAATGCTGCGTTACATAAACATTTTAACAAATAATTAGTACAAGCTACCTGCCACCGATGCAAAGAAAACTTTTACAGAATTAGTTTCGATATTTTTAAACACACTATTAGAGTCGATAATAAGTCTAAATTCACTATTTAAACACCACGTTTTGATGAAATTATCGCAGTAGATGACACATCAAGGACAGCTACAGATACGCTTTTCGACATATTTTTCAATCTACACACAGCTGGCTAACTGTCAAACAAAATGTTGCCATGTACATTCAACTAAAATTATTACCACAGTACAGTACTTTTCGTTTTGAGATACTATATTAATCTGTGACACAAAGATGTATTTTTACATAATATTCATATTTTAATATTAGCATCTTAACTGAAAGTTTGAATAAGCAATAATCATCTAACAAATTTGGTAAAAATTGTGTAACCCGTCGCAAAACCGTTAATGACAGTAATTTTTACTAAAATCGGGAATTTAAATATAAAGGTACGAGATAAATATAGAAAAATAATATTTTTGTGTAACATTTTTAAAGGTTAGGAATTAGTAATGGTAAGGAAACAGTTTATCAGAATTACTACTAAAAAAGTAGATATTGTCATGTAGCAACACTGACTCCGAACATTTCCAACTTTGTCGACCAATAATCTAAGCACGACGAAATCGAAAACAATGTCATGAGTTAGAGAAACATAGTACATACTATTATGAAATAATATTTTTAAACACATGCCATATATACTTTGCATTCTAATGATGAGATGGTAATGCTAACAGTTAAGCTAGTCATAAAATAAAGGAACGCAATTCGGACTACAAAACTATACAATAAATTTTTTAATTATTTGCGCATTAAAAATTATAAACTCTGCTGTAGGTGTTGTTAAAGATATGTTAAAAACATATTACACATTTACCTTAATACTACGTGGTTTAATTAAAAAGATCTATTTTAAATCATTTAAAATTATTATGATTCTCTGACTACGTTTAATTTTATCATTCTCCAGAATTAATCTTCTATTAGAATACGCAATGATATAATAATATTGTTCGTTATTTGTTTTATGCTCAATGTTAATATAAGCTAGTATCGTTTGATTGCTATACTACATATGATAGAGGTACGAATGTGTACATATTGTGAATGTGCAAGTAGCATTTTGTAGGCGGGGCGAAGGGCTAGTGGCTCTGGTGAACGACCGCGCTTGTTCTCGGGGTGTCCGGTCCATCCGGATAAGCTCGTTTGATTTCTTTGCTCATAATAGTACTGTTAGAATTTAAATAACGTTTCTTAGACGTTACTGTAGGATCTCTATCTTTCATCATGCATTCAATGTCATGTCACCGACAAATATTGAGCATCAATAAGAGATGGCTGGATGGAAGAAACTTTATCCATAAAGTGAATGAGTAATGTATTCTTGTAACAAGATGGCGCTGCCTAGTCTTGAAATGTCTCTTATTGATTAGGCGGCCATCGCTGGCTTAAGAGTTGAAAATTCTAGTCTAGTAAATAATGTAATTGTTGGTTATTTTTAGCGCGTTTAGTATTCTTTGAATATTTAAGAGTCACATAGTAGATTTTCTACACGAGTATGCCTGTGAATGTAAGACAATGGTTCTTAGTTCTGCCGCCAAGCAATATTGTGCAAACATCTCTGCATTATTTAAAAGATAATATGGGCAAATGACGTAGTTACGGAGCGAACGAAACATAACATTTCAAGGCAAGGGGAAAAACAAGATGAATTTTGCATTAAATAAGGTATATCTAATCTATGGAGATTAGTCACTTAATACTAAAAGTGCCCATAATATTGCGGAAATTTAATAAATTTGCAATAAATGTAGATAATAGATTAGCACTATAGATCTGAACGGAAACTACACCAATAGAAATCATGATTACAAAAATGGTAAATAATACTTCATAATGAATTATTTACTCTTACAAGAATCTAATAGGATAGTTTTTCACATAACATTGAAACGCAAAATATATGTATATACCTACATATTTAAAACGTGTCACGCAAATAAACAATGTCCACATGAATAATACAATTGACCAAGTTAATTTATTAATCATCAGAGTCGCATCGTATAGTATGAACTCCTGTTTCTTACAAACTACCGATTGCTGTCCACAGAAAACAAAATTGGTATTACTCTTTTCAACCATCTTAGCGGCCCAAGGTCATCGGGGCGCTGCGTATTACCCTTCCCTCAACCCGCTACACCTAATATTGTATTTTGCACAGCGACTCGAGCGAAGTTAACAACTGCCAAGATATAGGAAAAGGTTTATATTTTGCGATTGTCAAGCAAGATTAAATCCTCATGTAATATGGCGTGTTCACAGTAGCTATGTGCCTTCAAAATAAAAAAAGCTAGTGTAAATATAATGTCGGCTGTATCGCTATTGTCAGGTCTAACGGTAGATACCTTCAGCCTAAATCGGGCAACAACGTCCCGTTTAAAATAAGCCCGTCCGGTTTCGATTCGATCGCGTTTCTCGTGTCGCTTCGCTCATGTGTGCAGCGGCAACAAATAAACATTCGAATGAATAATCGTTCAGGTGGGACAGGCAGGTAGACACAAGTTGTACTTACCTGACGGCCAGGTAAACGTACTTAGTAGAATAAAAATCTCCGAAGGGTGTTCGTCTGATATTTGATTCAAGTCTGTATCGCAGGACTTGTGCGGGGCGAGGAAGGGGCGAGGAGATGGGGGCGGTGCAACGCGAGCAAAAACGTGAATTCGCCGACGAGACGACGACAACGATTCGCTACCGATTTGTTATTCCAACATGACCTTCCTTGACTCCGGACGTTTATCCTGCCGTCACTACAGTGATACGCACATCTATTGTTTCAAATTACTTCGATTATTTTTGCATATTTACAAACTGAATATAGTAACATTTTTTTAATGAAACAAGTATTTTTGGAATTTACTTTGGCACGAGGCATAAACGTTTTCCGATTGAGATAAAGCAATGTTTGTGTATCCTATGTGTTACTAAACCACTAGACAGATTGTAATGAAACTTTGGTAGGATGATGAGAACACTTGAGTAGAATTGTTTACTAAAAAATAAAATATTTTTAACAAAAATGTTTGCATTTATGTTCTAATGCAGCATAGTGTTTGTATTCATGTGGGACATTAAATATGTTCCATCGCCTTGCTTGTAAACGACACCAATCAAACCGGAACGCAATAAAGTTAGCACACACTACTGCTTCGTTACAGAAATAGACTGGGCCAAACTGTGTCTCCTATACCATATTTAATGCAGACATTTCCTAATAAAAATGCTTTTATTGAACAGGGAAATTGAATATGTTGCTTTTAAAACGAGAAAATTAATATGAATATTGATAAAAACAATACAATTAACACGTACATGATACATAGACACACTTCAAGTCTTCAACTGTAGGCATAACGATAAAGAGCGTGGAATGTCAGCATTATTCATTTGTATGCAATTAATTCGCTTTAGTTGTTTTACAATGATCTATTAGGTTACGCACAAAGAACATTATTATATTCATAAACAGAAAAAATAATAAAGCTTAAGTATTTTAGTCTACATTTAACCTTTTCTAGGTTCAGCGAGGCGAAGATAAGCCTTTGAATGCAATTTTCAAGTCTAGTGCGTCGCACAGACTGTCGTCTGATGGTATACCTACATGACGATCTGCTTTATTGAGTTTATACGACACTGGATTAAACAAATACTATCGACAACGAGTCTACGCTCGTCTATCTACAAATACGACATAGACTTCGAATCAAATATTATATGACGAGTAGTTAGTTAGTGTCAACTATTCGTAACATCGAGCAAAATTTGAAGTGAGCATTACACGCGTAACGAAATGTACTGTCGACTGTCAGCGGGGGTGAGACTAAAATCAATTCGTACATCAGCCGCTGCAGCATGGGGGAGTCAACGACCGCGTTGCAGTGTGGTGCGGTGCAACGCGCCCCCGCCGGCCAAACGCACGGCCGCGCGACCGCTCAGGCCGCCTGACGGTTCAACGACCGCCCCGAACCCTCCGCACTAACCCTCTATACTCTTCGAACAAAGATCATATCGCAATAATCACTATAAGGGTTGCCCTTTTGTTTACAACCAATTTTACACATTCACTAACCTCCTTTTTGCAAAACTTCATTAAATAATATATGAGATGTACAGACATTTTCCAAGCTGTATCAAGATTTGACTTCATTGAATACCAGATATTCAAAATGGTTTATACGTAGTCTACGTACGTTCTTTTTAGGATAATAATTGTACTACTTAACATTTTTTGGATTTACGAATGTAGCAATCGCTAACTGTTGTATAAATTTAACGTGTATTTAATGCACCTTAAAAATTTAACGTTTAATTATAAAGTAACTGTAAGTTTCTGGTGGACTGAACTGGTTTAAATAAAATTTATGTCATGTCACACTGAATGAAAAAAAAAATTACTGGACCAACCTTTCACCTCTCATTTTTAAGCAGCTCACAAAAAATCTATCGTGATTGCTATATCAGAAATCTATTTAACTACCAATAAGTATCAATAGTTAACATGATAATGTTTTTAATACAATGTATGTTTTAAGACCAGAAAAAGTCGATGTCAAAAACTCTGCCAAAGATTCATTAGGTAGGTACTCTGTACACGTACGCGAAGTGATGCAAAACTGAATATTTGCAAGATAAATTGCATCTTATCTGCTAATTTACTTGTTTTGCCCGTTGACATATAAAACAATCAGCTGACATTCAGTCACACAACGAAAACGAATGCTGCGCGCACACTTTCAGTCGGTCTTTGCATGGCAACAAAAGTTGCGAGTGAAGCAAAATAATTAATAGCAGTATTCACAAATCTAGCGAGAAACAGGGTATATTTGTATACTCGTCAGGGACACGTTATGCGA